TCTGTGTGTCTTTTATGGGCCATTCCGTTCCGTCTGTTCGCACTCGGCGGGTAGTTTGTCGCGCCGGTTTATGGTGTGTTGCCGCAGCACTAAAGATGGAATTCAATTTGAAATGGAGACGATTACATGGTCCAGACTAAGTATTGGGCACGATCGTTTTACCAAAACTTATTTCCTGTTTCGAATGAACAAAAAATCTGGGAATAAATTGTAGCTGTCCAAAGGCCAAGTAATTATTTTAGTTTCGGTTATAATCAAAATTCCACGATCTTTAAATTTTCAAGCCTAAAGTTTTAATAGAAAATTAATCAATATATATCAAAGAGATTAAAAAAATCAATTATTCATATTTAGAATATCAATTAATTTAAACATGATTGGTGAGTTCCGAGTTCTGAGTAAAGATAATGACAGTTCAGAGTAATCGTGAAATGATAATTATTGGAAAATAACTTCTAATGTATGTTTTTACAGCGTAGATTGAAATAAATAGAAATATACTGATATAGAGCAGTTTTTATTTTTAAAATAAGGCAACTTTCCAGGCTCAAATTTTACCTGAAAATTGCCCCGGTAGAGTAATTTTATGAACAATATACATAAATTTAATAAGTCTTTTTAGCCAAGCGAGAATCTTTTGAAGTATTTATTAAAAAATTTAAGACAGATTTTTTTACAATGACTTAGTTTTCCAAGATAAGGAACTTCAATTTACAAATTCATGTCTATTTTCTTAAAATATGCAAAAAATCATTTGTCATTTTGCAAGAATTTAAGATATTCAGTATTTCAGATTAAAAATTAACAATTAAAAAAGAGGTCATGTTCAGAAAAATGATCAAAAAGAGCTCAAAAGTATGGTCAAATGTTTATAAGCTTTCGTAAAACTATCAAATAAAGTTGTTTGTTTCTCACATATTTTTGTTGGAAATTAGACAATCCATTTTTTTAGCCACCACAGTCAGGTTTAAATTTACCAATTTATTTCCTGACACATCTTAACCCTTTAAAAATTGTGGGTCTAGTTAAACTTTTGATAAAATGTTCTCATCGAGCTGTTCGAAAAGTAGTCCGGGCAAGTTTATCAAGTTTTCTTTGGTCTTTTGTGGAGGAACAAAAGTTTCGGTCTTACTCGAATGCAAAAATTGTTGCGCGAGGAGGCGTGAGAGTGGCGCGAAGGGCAGGTGCCGGTCGGCGTCGCACCTTCAGCCCTCGCTTTTTCTCACCAGAAACCCGATATACGCCGAAAAAGAGCAGCCAGCGAGTGCGGTTGCGAATCAGCCGTTTCTCGCCGCAAAAACACACGCGGAGGAAAGATAGACACAAGAGTAGCACGTTGTTTGGATCGAGAGACCTCCGCTTTCAATCGACTTCCTGGGTCGCGCGCTCGCCACTTTTCACGCGCTTGCGAATTTGCAATTGACACTTTGGCAGATCGGTGTCCATGCCTGCTGGTGGGTCAGAGAAAACTTTCAAACTAACGCTTAGAAAAAATATTAACATTCATTGAATTTATTTTGTGATTCTAATCAATAAAATAGGATAAAAATATATAATTCGTGAATATTTTTACCGTTTTAAGTGAGATTCAGAAAAATGTGAATTTCCCAAATTTTCTTCTTAATAATTAATTTTTTTTTTGTGATACAATGATAATGAGTTAGTAAAAGACTATTTTTTTATAAGTTTTAAAAATAGTTTGTGATTTCTGTCAATTAGGTCAAATAGTGTTAATTTTAAATAAAAGTTCATCCTAAAAATGGTAAATCTAATAAACTATTTGTCAATTTTCACTTCTCAGTCATTAAAACCAATTAAAACAAACAAAAAAATCAGATTTTTATATGATATCATGGGAATGCTATGCGGTATGTTTTGTCATGTTTTGTATTCTATAAAAATAAAAAATAAAATTCTCTTCATGTAGCAATTTTTTGTTTATTTTCTGCCATGATAAGAATAATTTTAGATTTTTGAACTCTATCGTATTGTTTTTTTTTCAATGTTGGTAATTTAAATTTAGTAATTATAATGTTTATTTCATGACAATAATTATCTAGAAATATAGATCATGACAGCTATTTTTATACATTTCCTCAACCATCTCATCAAAATCAATAAATATAAAAAAAAAATTGTAACACATCTTAAATATAAGAAAAAATACTTATTTCAATTCTGAAAATTTCCTTCCCCAGCTGCAGGAAATTTTAGTCTACGGAATTATTTTATTACATTTTTATTGCTCCCAGGAGGGGGCGGGGGGGGGTGCAATTCGGAGTAGCCGAATCTATGTTCAAATATTATAACAAAAATATATTTATGTTTTGTTTGCCGCGGAGCAATCGCTACTTTTTCTCGAACACACATGTACATACAAAACGGCACACTAGGGCTTTTATGGACTGCGCGTTTATGATCTGGAGAGCCGCATTTAATTTTACACTTTACGATCGCGGTCACGCGAACCTCTTTATCATTTCTCTCACGGGGCCTGGAAATTAAAATTCCTCTCGGGCCCGCCGCGTGCAGTGCGCGTTCGATAATGAGAGGGGGAGGCTTAGAGAGCAACCCTTGCCTGCAATACACAGGGGTGGCAGATGTCACCCCGATTAAAGAGGGGGCGGGCGGGAGGGCGAGCACGCGACCGAAATTCACGCAAAGCTGCGCTGCATCCCGGCCGGCAATAAATCACCACCCAAATAAATACAACTTCTCTCTTTAATTCTTTCCCAAACTTTATTGCATTGTTGATATAATTAAAGTAAGACTCGATGTACATTAAAGATTCGGTGTGCGTTTATGGGTGGACATTGATTTGCTCTTTATTGGCATCGCGTAGCCCGATGACTCACACGCTTGGGGGGTCTTTTTCTTTCTTCGCAACGCACCCTCGGTTCGGAGACAACCCGGCGTGACGACTCAATTATCGCCCTGCCAAAAATATAAGGAAAACACTTTTAGAAAACCCAGCCAGCTGATCGGAATGCAATATAAATTGTTGTACAAAATTTAAAAAAAACTTTTTTCTAATGTAAAATAGTATTTTTTAATTTAATCGCTATGAAAGGATTTGTTTCACCCCAATTCCAACCCTTTTCAAAATTTATCCTTATTTTTAATTTAATTTTGACAATTTAATACATTTCTATTTAAATACAAAAATTTATGTTTAAATTTACTCTTAAATCACACAAAAAGTTGATTCAGAATTTTTCCCTTCTTTAGAATATAATTTTTATTAAGTAATTTCTAAATCTAAAGATAATTATTAATATTATTTTCTTTATAGTGAAATCCTTTTTATTCAATAACAGAACGAAATATATAAACAATAAATATTATTTGTTTGAAGAAGTTGACACTCGAGGAGATGATCATGGAAATGAAGAGATCGGGCTTTTCCTCGTTGCAGAAAAAAAAATGTTTTTATTCAAAAAACACAAATTTCTTGTTTTAGTCAGCGAGCAGCGCGTTTGCTCATGAAATAGGGTGACCAAAAAGTGGTAGAGCCATTTCTGTTTTTTTAATAAAAACAATTCTTCTGCAACGAGGAAAAGCCCGATATCTTCATTTCCAAATATGTTATGTTTAATATAAATAAAATTATTAAGTGAATTAAAAAAATATTTATATTGAATATATTAACACATTAATATTGAAACGTGTTACTAAATAATTTAATAATCAGTTGAAAACTTTCATTTTAACTTGCGGTTCTTTTTTTAAGTTGTGATTGGTTTTTTTAATTTTATAATTAATTTATTTTAATCTGGAAATTAAATTGAATAAAATATACATAAAAAAAAAATTTGGATGCTGATATTAAAAGCATTTTTAAAAGCGTCCATATTCACACCGTATGTGCCTTAGATGAATGTGAAAAGAGACGAAAGCAGCGATGCATAAAAGTTTTTTGCGATTAAAATTTGTGCGGGAAGGGCGGGAAAAGGTGGTGTATATGTTTGAGTTTGCAGAGCAAATATGCGCCGCGAGCGTTTTTCTCTCAAAACCCCGGCAAGAGAGCCCAAGATATAAATATGAAACACCTTTACAGTTGTAGACACCTATTTGCTGCTGATAACATGGCAAATAATATGGTGAAAAAAATGCGCGTGTGCGTCTGCTGCCGGGGAGCAGCAGCCGAGAAATCAAAACTTTTTGACATGAGTCTTCCTGTGGCTTGAGTACATACATAAAATGTCACATGCTGTGTTGAATAGCACAACATAGGGCTCGTATTCACTCTGAAAATAAAATAAAATCATGCTGGTGGCTCTCTTGGGTGAAATGAAGAGGAAAGGATTAGTTTAGATTTTTTATAGAGGCTAGAGGCACATTATCTGATTTATTGTTATTATAACCATTTTTTTTATTGTTATTCTGATTAAGTGGTTTAAATTTTATTTCAAATGTTATATAATTGTGGTAAATTAAATGATTCAACGATTAAAGTTAAAATTTTAAGTAAAAAATTGTTGGACACTAATTAATTTTTTTATTATTATTGTAAATGATTTACATAACGACGCTTTAAAATTTTTAATTTTTTCATGATAGCAACTAAATGTTTCAATAAAATATTTTCAAGGATTAACCCACCACTTTCTTAATTGTTTATCATTATCAGGCTGGCCAACACCATGCAATTTATTTCTATTTAAAAAATGTAAAAAAATTTTTAACAAAAAATTTAATTTTTATAAGAAACTTCGGGAAAAAAATCGTTCTATTTTCACTTTTAAAAAAAAAATCTAGATGAGTCGTAGATTTAATTATCGCTGAAAGTTGTTTTGCGACTTATGGAAAAAGAATTCAGCTCGGCCTCGGCTGATTAAGATGATGGAAGAGTGTTGGTTATCGCTGCGTGCACTTCATTAAACGAGGTGTCTACACCGGTAAATTGGATTGTCAGTGGCGAGATAAGGAGGCAAATCAAAATCTCGCCTCCTCTCGCCTCTCACATATATTTTTATCAGAGAGCATTCGGAGTCCGGGAGCTGTCAACACAGCACTGCCAACCAACCGTGTGGCCAAGCGACTCACAGGGCGACCCTTATCGCGCACAAAGGAAGTCTAATAATAAATTAATTAGGTGCGAATAGAGAATAATCGGTCCGACTGCCTCCTCCACTCTCGCCACCGCAAACGCCCTCCCCTCGCCTCCTGTCCGGACCATCCACGCCCGCCAGTCGGTCCGAGTCTTCACGCCGGCATGGACACGCACCTCAGCCACCCTCTGCACTCCAGCACGCGCCCTCTCCAACCTTCAAAATGAGCCTCATCAGTATGTAACTTTTGTTTTTAATTTTGTTTTATCATCTAGATTCAGACTTTAGATTTCGTTCTAAATTTTGTCTTTCATTTTTATCAAAAATGGTTTTTGTAAATTAATCAGGATGAAATTATAGAGTTTTGACCAAATTTTAGATTTATCTGGCTAATAAGCTCATAAAAAGGGAATAATTCAGAAAAAAATTAAAAGTCTAACAGTCTAACTATGAATTTATATTATTCTATTCTATACATTTTGATTATCTTTGGAAACATCAATTATTTCTTTTCTTTATTTTTGAACCTTTGTCAACTGCCGAGAACCCAGCTATTGATGATCTGTCACTCTAAAATAATATTTAAATTAATTAGGTTCGAATTATTCATTAATATTTTCAAACTTTTGAAGAAATATAAATTTAAAAAAATGCTAACAAAAAACAAATACAAGAATTAACTATGAAACTCTTAATATTATTATGAGAATTGAGCTTTTCTAATTAAACTGCATAATTGTAATGTTGAAAGGGACTTACAATAAGATAATTTTACATCCACTTTAACATAATAATACAAAATATTCATTATTTCTTCTGATTCCTTCTATAAATTATAACTGTCACGTGTATATACAATGCCCATAATCAGTCTCAATACATCTATTCAGGCTGCTATATTTATTTTGAAACGAAATGTGGCAATAAGCGTCAAGAAAGTTCTCTTGATCTCAATTTTGGCTCCGCTGAAAAATGAGACATGTGTGCAATTTTGTGCGCGATTTTGTACAAAGTGGTCATTATCCGCGCGAGTCGTCGTGAATTTTTCATGAGCTCACTCATATTGCTTTTGCAATTCTAACGAATTTCGCGAGTAGGCAAGAGAAACAATGAGCGAATAAAGAGAAACGTCTGATTTATTCTGGCTCTATGCTTCTGCGCTCCAACGAGAACAATGTTCACCTTGTTTTATTCCAATGCTAGAGATAATTAAGTCGATTCCATATATTCTGCTCATTCGGTACAAACAATCTTCCGCAATTCGCCTGACCACTTTCAGCTGGAGTCAGCCTTTCTAAAAATAGAATTTCCGATTAAAGAGAGAAAAAGTTTATGTTGATTTATTTTCAATATGATTAAATCACAATAATATTTCCATTTACTGAAAAACATTACTTTTGGGAATTCATTTATAATTAAATTTTTGAAAAAAAAAAAAAACATTTGGAACCTTCCATTTGAATAACTAACCCTTTTCTAAATAACACTTTAATCGTAATTTACTTTAAACCAAACCCTGTTTTTATATTCAAAATGAGCAATAAAAGTTTCAAAGGATATCTAGTCATAAACTAAAAAGAATGGAATTTTGCAATGATTCATTTAATTATTTTGTTATAGGAGGGCAAAAATGCCTGTTTTAAAATTCAAGTTTCAATATTTTCTATGTACATAACTATGATCTAAAAAACATTTCGATATAAAAAAAAATTTATAATGAGATTTTAAGAAGCTGCTTATATTTTTAGTAAAATTTTTAATGGATTTTATTTTCAGTTGTTTGGAAAGAGTTTTAAATTATTGTAGGTGTGTTCAATGTAAAATTGTTTCCAGTTGGATTAAATTTATTAAATTATAATACCATCAATATAAAATATTATACCTGTCAAATTTGTTTGGCCATTCAGGTGAAACTGAAAATTTGAGGAAAGATAAAATTATTTTGGGAAGCTTGGTAAACAATTAGCTTTGAAAATAAACAAACTAGGTTAATAGAAAATCAATAATTTTTTTATTAGTCAAAGTCATTTTGTAGCTTATTTAATTCATTAGTTAAGAAAACATGATCAAAATGATTATAATTTCTAAATATCTGTGTTTGTTGGTTTGTCTTACTAAAATGTTTATCAGATGCATAAAATAATCATGAAAAGTATAAAGGTGTCAAAATGTCCAGTTATTGTCTTATTCTTTTCTTACCATTGACTGCCGCGTGAGAATGGGTTGAGCAAGAAATTAAAATTAATATAATGTGCAGCCGGTCGTGTTCTTTGGAGCAGCCGGGAAGCAAGCGATAAATTGAGCGTTGGATCTGCGTTGGTCACATGACACACGTTGTGTCTCTCTCATAACAAATAATATACACATGTACAACTGGTTGAGCTTCCTGCGGTCTGCGAGATGACAACCAGATTTATATTAATGTTCACCTCGCCTGGCCACCGACAATAATAATAACAAAGAGAGGCCAGTGCCGAAATCAAGTGGCGGGGTTAATTGTTCAGAGGCAAACGTCATTCCCACGCTAATTAGCCTCACACTGTTTCCAGATAAGATCTAGAAGCGATCTGACTATGGATTGCAGGCTGTATTAATTAGCAAAAATAATTTATTAAAATTTCTTTGCCTAAAAATTTTTAATTTTTCTCATGTTGATGATTTATTTGTCTGCTAAACAGGAAGTGCTCAACGTTTTTATACCAAAATTATAAAATTTTTATACATTAATTATTGTGGCTTAAATTAAAATTACAAATTGTTGTGTTTAGTTTTTTTACTCTTTTACTCTGATCGGGAAATTAGTAAATTTAAATAATTATCATTTAAAACACTTAGTTTTAAAATAGAAATACAACTTGCAGTACAATTGAATCCATTTTTCAATCTTGACTCCATTTTTTTAGTGTTCAGAAAAATTTACTTCTTTATTCCTTTGGATTTTAAATATTCTTTTCCTGGGAACAATGTTCAGTTAATTTTTCACGCAGAAAGAATTTGTAAGTAAAGATTGATATGGAAAGTGTTAACAAATTTTCATTTCTTTACTTAAACGTAATGGTATGCTAATGGGGTTTTTTTATTGGTAAAGGAAACGACAATTAAAAAAAAATGTTTTCTGCTGGATTTTAATATATGCAAAACTTTCAGAGACTTTTACAATTCTATTTATTTTAATTTTTCAAATCAATTTATGTTCAATACTTGCCAATCTAAAATTATTTTCGTGTTTTTAAACTTGATATAAGTATTAAGAAACAAACAAATATACATATTAAATTTGAATTAACCATCAAAATCAATCATAAATTAAAATATAGGTAATCTGCTGACTCAAATTTTGTATCAAATTATTTTTTACCATTTTATTTGCAATAAATAATCTTCAACAGGACAACTGAGCTGAAAAAAAGACAATTTTAAGATGAATTTATAGAAAATTTTCAAAATTATAAATGTTGCCATTACGTATTCAAAGGGCAGAATTATAAGCTTAAAAATACAAGTTTGAAATAATAATTAGACAAATACAATAGAATTAAACGTGATGGATTGCACACACTTTGAAAGACATTGTCACACTATTAGAATTACATGCGTGACGTGAAATCGCATATGGCCATAGTTGAGACGTGGCAGGTGAAGAGTCAATTAATAGACCGTGAGCTATCAATCAAATTGTTATTTAGGAAAAAACATGACGCCATTGTCGAAACTTAAAATTCCGCCCGATGAACTGCCGAAGGAAATATGGGCTGCCAATACATCTTTTTCACTCCCCCGCACAAAACAATCCAAGATAAATAATTATGTCCGCGGCTGTTGGCGCATCCGCCGTCCTCCTCGGGACGCATCCAAATGTCCTCATTGATTCGCGCGTTTCTTCTATGGCAAATCTTATCTCGGGCGGCAGCGCGTGGAGTTGATTGTAATCCTCTCTTTCTCTCTGATTAAAAACCAGCCGTTTTGCAACTCTCTTTTTTCCTCAACTCTCCGGATCGATTTTTTCCTCCCGGGCCGCGGCGAGTTTTCTTTCGATCGCGAGCGGCGAAAATAAGCTGCGAGACGAGAACGGTATGTGGACGCTTTGAAAGATTTATCGACTCTCCAGCTAACGTAAAACAGCCCTTCCTCCGACGGAACGCGTGCAATCATTTATTAAAAGGTGTCCGGCTTTTCTCTTAGGTAAAGAAAGAGAAAAACGTTTCGGAAGTAGTGTTTCTCTTTGGGCGGACACAAAGTTTTTATTCTTTTGTTTTGAATTCTTGGTCCATTCTTAACCTCTAAACATTTTAAAGTTGAACAGGCCTATTATATTCATCTTGTGGAAAACGGTTCATTTGTGCGCAATTTTAAATAAAATTAGGACAATTAAATATTTGATAAAAAATTTGGGATTTAATTTAACTTCAACATTTTTCTAATAAAATAAATAACATTTTTATCTAATTTTCGATCTTGTTGATCCAAAATACTTCCATGCCGACGCATTATTCACATTCGCTTCTTCATTAGAAAGGTCAAGCGAAATCGATTGATGATTAAGAACCCCATGGGTCACCGCGCAAAGGTTACTTCAAAACCTTTGATTAGCAGAAAATTCTCCCCCTCCACAGAAAATAATATGAATTATTGTCTTATCTATTTAAACCGTAAATAAACATCTTGGCTGCTTTATTAAATTTAACCCTTTGCTCAAGTTGCTTGATATAAATCATTTTCTTTTCACAGTTAATTATAGCTTGGGCTTCTCTCTAAAAAAAATCACTTAATTTGCATTAAGAGTTTTTTTAATTCATTGTTAGTTATTAATACCATCTTTTATATTTTTAAACAACAAATTCACAATTATCTATCTGAAAGGTGCCAATGTTTGCACATTTTTTTTTTTAATTCAGAGTTTTGACGAAGCTCGCGCAACGAGAGGCCACTCGAAAAGTTTGTACTTTGGCGAGATAAAATCAAGTGCGGGCGACTAGCTGCCCGTCTTTCTTCCTGCAGTATCAGTGGCCGCGGTGATAGATTTCGACACACCATCTCTCGTCAGTTTGCCAATTTGTCAGTCAAGCGTCTTTCACTCGACATGTCCTCATTACCACTGTTAAAATAATTTCTGCCGAGGATAATCTTGCTCGGCACTGACAGTTTTGAGTGAGATGAATAGATAATTATGATATAAAACACGGGTCGGTACACGGGCATCAGATTCGAATTAAGATTTGTTTTGTCGAGTGCCTGCTTGATTCTTTCTCGCGCACCTTATTTGATAAAGAATTTGAATGCAGAGAGGAGTGCATGAGAGAGGTAATCTGACAGCTAATCCCTCATTTACAAAGATAAACGAGTGGCGTTTCCAAATATTGGTCTTTCGATTTCGATAGCGCCGAGACAAGTATTCGTTTTGAGAGAGTGCCCGGAGTGCCGTGCCTAATGCGATTTCAACGAGGCGAGAAAATTATTCACAAATCACGTAATTCAAAATTTCGTAATTTTTTAATAGAATTTGGAAATCTGTTCTATATCACAAGTAGATGACCAAAACGTTTGACGCTCTTTTTATGAAATTTTGTTTAGCTGAAAGTAAAAATATTTTGTTATATTCCACTTTTGGTTAAATTTTAAGCGTTAACTTTGGATAGAATAAAATTTATATAATTGATGTGTGTGTGATACCTTAAAAAATTGGGTACCAAATAATTAGGGTCACCAATCATTTTTTATTTATTTTTTATAATTTGAAGGAAACCCACAGCGAACAATACAGGCAACAGAATTTCCAGCCATTTTTCTATTTTTAAATCCACGTCAACAAAAAAAGCAAATTCTTCAATAAGATATAAAAAACTGAAAATTGAAGTAATCAAAAGATTGTAATTAATTTGATGAAGTGAAAGGTGAAATAAAACCTTTTTGCATTTAAATCAAACTTATACTCAAGGTTGAAACGACCAATTAGGCTAAAGCTTTTGGCAATTTTGTGAATGGCTTGATTTTTAGAATTTTTGATCTTGGTTTTGACTGGTTTGAACTTCAGTCGTTAGCCATAAAGATCCGTTGACTTTTACATCCAAGATTAAGAAATTAACTGATGTCGGGATAACAAAATTTTCATCCAGATTTTAGCAATATTGATTTGAGACCGTCATTTTCACATCAAAAATTTAAGGTTCATTAGGGGAAAAACCTGGATTTTAATACCAAATCTTAAATTCAATAATACTTAGGTTTTAAATCGGCACACAAAACCAAGGGGTTCAAAATAAGCCTTGGGATTGTCCATCGGCCATCGACATTTATTTTCTAATTGGGCGCCGGAAATAGAAGAAGAAAGAAAAACAAACCACCTTGGAACAACACAGCGCGACAGATGCAGTTGAAATAAATTAACAATGCCCCTAATCCCTTCTTTCGTCTCACCAAAAGAGCCCTCACTGGTGCATAAATACTTTTTCAACCGTGCATGAGTAATTAAGACACATTAATTTCGATACGGGGCTTGTCCCATCAATAATCTCGGGCGGGCAGCGAGGAATTCGATTCCGGTCGCACCTGGTTAGCATTAGTGCGCGATATTTGTTTAGATGAATTGTGTTTACGAAGCGCTAAAGCTTTTAACGCCGGGCGCATTAAACAAAAAGCAGCAGCCCCCGCAACCAGCTAATCCGACACACAGAGTGCACGCTGCGAGACCCGAGGGTGGTTTTGCTCCATAAATCCCCATGAAAATTAAATAGGCAGAAAAGGGACACTCGCCTAAAGTAAGCTACTTTGCTCCTACGGCCTCTCATGCAAAATGTAAACAACATTTTCATCGCAAAAACAAGAAATAAAGAGTTTTTGAGCAAAAATCGTGAGATTGGAATATTTTAAACAATTAATTAAAATGAAATTTAAAAAAAAATGTCACTATATTAAATGAAAAATATTATTTAATTTTAATTATTTGAAAATATGATCATTCGTCCTTTAATTGCATAAATCAATTTTCATTAAAGTAAAAAATGATGTCTTAAAAGACCTGAACACCAGTAAAACTAATTTCGATTGTTTGAAATTTTGTTAAAAATAATTTACCAATTTTTAAACAAATGTACAAATAATTAATTTTTTAATAGAATATTTATATTTTTTATTCAATAATTGAACGCAAATTGAAATTTACAATTACAATTGTCAATTGAATTATAATTGATCGAATTGATTTTGATTTATGTGGTTCTTGATTGTTTCAGATCGGAGGCAGGATTGAGCGCGAGATGTTGCGGTTGGTGTTGGCGTGTTGGGTGTTGGGCGCCGCCGCGGCGTCGGACGGGTCGCGCTGCGAGGAGATCACGATTCCGATGTGTCGCGGTATCGGCTACAACCTGACGTCGATGCCCAACGAGCTGAACCACGACACACAGGTGTGGATTAAAATAATTATGTCACAATCTGATTTCCATAAAACTTATAAATTATTTACCAGTCAGATTTAGAATTGAAACATAATTTTCTTCTTTATTTTTTATTATTGTTGTTGTTTATTCTCTAAAATGGTAATTTGATTTTTCCTAGTATCAAAACAAGTGCTGAAAATTTATTATTGAAAACAAATGAAGGCAAAATTCAATTAATATTAATAAAGAAAAAAGATGGTTCACCTCTTTCTTTTTGATAATAAAAATGCTCGCTGTTGATTATCAATTATTGTTTTAATGCGCGAATTTTATTGATCTCACTCTATAATTAGACTTAAAAATTATTGATCAAATATTCTGATTATCGCAGGCTTTCAAAATTATCTAATAAAAGTGCAGATTATTAAATTTTAAGCCAAAAATCCCCAATCGATCGATTGTAAACGACTTACAATTTTGCATAAAACTGCCTAAAACAGGCTAAAACAGCTAACAAAGTGCATAATTATTGAGGATAAAAAAAATTCTTTGTAATTAATTTTTTTAATTTCAAAACTTTGTAATGTTCTTAAAGGTGTGGATTCTTTTAGATATAAAATTTGAATTACGAGGAAATTAACCAGAAAATTTCGCCTCAGAAACGTGTTCCAGAAAAACTACAGAATAGAGAAATTAATTTATTTTTTTAGCAAATTTAATGGTTTTTCCAAAATTTTCAGCCTTGGAAATTCTTGGCATTAGTTTTTTAAATGTTTTGAATGGCATGAGAAGAAGCTGTAAAAAATTCTTTTGAAATCACGTGATTTGAAAACTTTTAATTCAGAAATTTTACGCAGCTAAATAATTTTTTGTTTGATCGCAGGAGGAGGCCGGTTTGGAAGTGCACCAGTTTTGGCCGCTGGTCGAGATCAAGTGCAGCAAGGACCTGCTGTTCTTCCTGTGCTCGATGTACAGTCCGATCTGCATCGAGGACTACCACCAGCCGCTGCCCGCGTGCCGCAGCGTGTGCGAAAGGGCGCGCAACGGGTGTTCGCCCCTCATGGAGCACTACGGCTTCAAGTGGCCCGACCGCATGTCCTGCGACAAGTTCCCGCGCCACGGCGACCCCGACGCCCTTTGCATGGACAAGCCCGACGGCCTGGCGGCCGCGGCAGCCACCAACGCCCCCTCCCCACCCCTCCGTCCCACCAGGAAGCCGCCGGCCCAGAACAACAAGTGCAAGAATAAAAACGGCAAAGGCTGCAATTCGCCGTCGCTCGCGGGCAAGGAGCCCTCGGTGGACGCCAAGGACTGCCAGTGCCGCTGCCGAAGTCCCCTTGTGCCCATCGGCAGGGACAGTCTGCTCTTCAACAGGAGCGTCTCCGTATCCACGGTCGACAACTGCGCCCTGCCTTGTTACGGCGTCTTCTTTTCGCCGGTAAGTAAATCGTTTTTTTTTTTAATAAAAATAAAGACAAAATTTGCATGAAACATACTCGTTGAAATTTTTGTTTGTATTTAAAAAGATTTGGGCCAAAAAATAATAAATCAAGAAATAAGATGTGAAAACTAGAAATAAAAATTAGTTCCACAAATTTTTAAGATATTTTATATTTGATTTAAATTGTTTTTAATAAATTTTCTTTATGGTTGACTTTCAAATATTCTTAATTTTTGGCTACAAATAGTTTAGCATCATCTTTTAAATTTGCATTGTAGTTTTTAGTTTTTTCTGTAATTAGAGTTTGGTTATAAATTTTACTGACAAAGAGTGCTCTTTAAATTAAATTTTCTTCCGATTGGTTCCAATTTTGCAAAAAATTCGAAAAATTTGCCTCACAAGTGCAGAAGTTTTTCAATCAGCCTTGATAAGAAAAGGAAATGCCCATTAATTATTATTTAGCTCAATTTGTCCTTTGGCTTAAAAAGCTCACCCAAGTAAATTTATCTTCTTATAGTCTTATACTTTATGATCCCATAACAACGATCTCACGTTCAGAACCTTTCTAAATTCAATTTACTTCTAGTGAAATTTTGCTGTTTCCTTTTATTAAATTTTCAAAATTTTTATTAAAACCATTAATTTTTGCAGAACTAACAATAAGGTATGCAGAAAAGTTAGTCATAATTATGTCCAAAAATTGTATGATAGCCTTATGATTCAGTTAAAAATGTTCCTTAAGAATTGCTAATGATTTTTATATGTCTCATGTGCAAACAAAAATAATTTGTCACTCTATAAATAAGGAATGGTTGAAAATTGTTTAAGCTGTTCCTTTTTTTATTAGTTTCCACTCTTTGCTTTAAATTCAAACAATTACTAGAGTTTATATTTTAACATATGGAAAATTTAAAATTGAAAATTAAAACCATGTAATAAAAAATTGACCAAATTTGGTTTTAGGAGGAGCGCGATTTTGCGTCGGTGTGGATCACAGTGTGGTCGGCGTTGTGCTGCGTGTCGACGCTGATGACGGTGACGACGTTTCTGATTGACACGCAGCGCTTCAAGTACCCTGAGCGGCCGATCGTGTTCCTCAGCGCGTGCTACTTCATGGTGAGCGTCGGTTACCTGGTTCGGGTGGGCCTCGGCCATGAAGAGGTCGCCTGCCATGAACGCATCATCCGCTATCACTCGACCGGGCCCGTGCCCTGCACACTCGTCTTCCTCCTCATCTACTTCTTCGGCATGGCCTCATCCATCTGGTGGGTCATCCTCACCCTCACCTGGTTCCTTGCTGCAGGACTCAAATGGGGAAATGAGGTGAAATAAATTAAAAAATTATAATTATTGATGTTTAATATAATTTATATTTATTATTTTTTTATACTTCCATTTTTTCATTAAAAAAATATACAATACATCATTTTATTTTATTAAGAGCTTTATAAAGCTCTGATATATGAAAAAGTCTGAGTATGGACATACAAAATTAATGGAAAGTTTAAATTGTTTAAAATAATAATAATGATATCTTATTTTATAAATTCTCTTGCTAAGATCTTTTAGAACAATTTGAGAATTTTATTTTAATTTATTCACCAAGTTGCTAAAATCACCTTAGTCAAAAAATGTCAATTGTTGAAGCAAATTTTTGAAAGAAATTATTATTATTACATTATTGTCTATTCTTCAAAATTTAAGTCAAATAAGAAACAACTTTAAAGGCTATTTTGTCAGCAAAATTGAATTTGCACATTTTCATAAGCAATGTCAATTAATTTTTTTTTTTATGATTTGCAGGCGATTGCGGGCTACTCGCAGTACTTCCACCTGGCAGCGTGGCTGGTGCCGACGGTCAAGTCGGTGGCGGTGCTGGTGATGAGCGCCGTGGACGGGGACGCGGTGGCCGGGGTGTGCTACGTGGGCAACCAGAACGCGGACAACCTGCGCATCTTCGTGATGGCGCCGCTGGTGGCGTACCTGTTCCTGGGCACGTCGTTCCTGCTGGCGGGCTTCGTGTCCCTCTTCCGCATCCGCAACGTAATCAAGCAGCAGGGCCGCAGCAAAGCTGACAAGCTCGAGAAGCTGATGATCCGCATCGGCATCTTCAGCGTGCTGTACACCGTGCCCGCCACCATCGTCATCGGCTGCCACTTCTACGAGTCGCACCGTGACTGGCTCGCGCCCTGGACCTGCCCTTGTCACGAGCAGCACCGACCCAGGCCACTCTACTCCATCCTCATGCTCAAGTACTTCATGGCGCTCGCCGTCGGAATCACCTCCGGGGTCTGGATCTGGTCCGGAAAGACCCTCGACTCGTGGCGCCGCTTCTGGTTCCGCATCACAGGACGCAGGTTTGTTCAAAATTCTTAACCCTCTTGTTTAAGAAAGGTTTTAATTCATCTTTTAAATACCTAAAATTACACTGCATAATTTGAATTCAAATTTAACATCATTATATTACTTCAAAAATTAAAATATATGATAAAAAAAACCTCGAGTCATTTCTTCTCATTAATTTTCAACAAATTTATCCAAAATGTTTAGCTTTTTTGTGTGAAAATCTTTCAGTTGTCTTAAAAAATTTCATTTTAAATTGTGCGCAATTTTTTATGTTTTCCTACCTAACTGATGCTTAAATGAAAAATCCTATTATAAAATATAAACGACGAATTGAGTGCCGTTTCCTTCATTTAAAAAAGAAAAAAAAAATGGGAAATCGCAATTATTTCCAAATTCATAATTATGAATTTTATTTCAAACAGTTTGATCCTAAAAATTCAACCCAGATTTAAAAATAAATTTTTATTGATTCCGTTTAAGTAGTTATTTTTGCTTAAAATGAATTTGTTTTCGCAGGTATTTGATTGAGTCAAACACTGCAAAGCGGTCGGTGGTGGCGAAGCCGCTGGCCGTGGGCTACTCTCCGGCCGTCACCGCCTCCACGATGAAGCAATCGGCGCCGCTGAGCCACGTATGACATAATGGAACCCCCCATTTTGCGTCCGAAGATCTGGTGGTGGACTCGATTTTGGTGCAGACCACCAAGTCGACGACCTCAACCATGGGCAACAAAGTGGAGGGGCTTAGCAATTACGGACCCATTTAACAATATGGAGTGTGAAAAAGTGCAGGAAGAAGAAAATAAAGCGACGGGACGCTTTTGGTTTTGTGACAAATATTTAATATACGTAATCGAGAGAGACGTATTGTGTAAATATGGACTTATTCGCCGACTATTGATTGTTACGTGACTTTATTTATTACCTAATTACTAAAAACAGGGAGCTAGTCTTAAAGTTATGTTAGACGCTTTTTTGACGATTTGCTGCAAATTTTTACTCAGTTGGTTAAAAATTTTAGAAATTTGTGATGCGTTGTTGATCAAATCCGTAGCTCAGAAGCCTGCAAGAACCTTTGATACTCTTACTGTATAGAAATGAAAACTACGTAATTAGGATAGAAATTTGATATTCCTCATCAAAACTTAGCAACATATTTTTACCAAAACTAGAAATTATTTATTTGAAAAAAAAAATGAAAATCTACATTTCTTTCTTGGTTAAATATCAATTTGGATTTTGTGCAAAATCTGATGACTGATGTTTTTGGCGTTTTATTTGTCTGGAAATAGGTCAAAAAGATTGTTGCACATAGAAAAAAACTTGTTGAAAAGATTTATCGGTTTTCCCCCCCAAATGTTTTAATAATAAAAAATATCAAAATATTTATTGCATTGAAAAAGTTCTAGACTCTGTACAGAAAAATTAATTAAAACGGGTCTTTCTTTATTACATCAATTAAGAACCAAATAAATAATGACAGCGCCCTCTGAGATAAGTTAAAACTTATAATCACAGTAGCAATTTCATCCTTACTCCTACACTAAATGTAATACAACATTCTATATCTATTTCTCTTCTTTGTAAAAAGAAAAAAATAATATTAAAAACAACAATATTTCTTGATGAACAAAATAATAATAGCGATTAGATTATGTGTGAGAAGGTTGCGTTTCGGGCGCAGTTTGTTTAACGAGGCTGTACTTGTAGGATCTGTGTACTTAATAGACAGTTAATTAGCCAACCATGTAGCAATTCAATTAGATGCGCAGAGAGGAAAATAAACTATACATCATCACTAATCATAAGGCTGCTCGTGTATCCATATCGTAGTCGTCGTCACCAGTCATCTCTGTATACGAAAAGGCGCAGGAAAATTTGTACCAAGGAAATAATAAATTTTGGACAAAATAATTAGTGCGTTTAGACGGTAATATAAGAACAAAATTAATATATGACACCGACTTGATTATTACATTGTGAAATCCAGAGTTTTATTCTCTCTAAAAACCTTTTTAGCATAATTATTCTGAATTCTGGTTTTTATTTCTTTATTTTAATACTTACTTATCTCCATTTCTCCAACGTTTAAAATTTGATGCAAAAATGGAGGAGTGTTGAAAATTAAAACATTAAATAAATTCGCAAATATTGAAAACAAATATAAAATAAAATAGTAACTTTGAGATTCTGAATTAGTTTTCTTTTTTAATTGAGCATATATTATTATATAATAAAATTGTGTCAACTAGATTTAATTAAATAATATATTATTCCTTTAATTTAAAATGTAGTTTCGCTTCAAAAAATTTTAATTTAAACTTGCTGATAAATGCTCAGAACTCATAATTCTCATCCCTGTTTTCAAGATTTTGTTTTAATATACAATATTTAATAATTTAGTTCTGTTTGATTTATAATTTATCAGTTGAGTTTATAATGTCTTGACGAGCAATTAATTATAATTGTACATTACATTTAACTTGATAAATTTTAAAAATCGAATTTGAAGCTAAGATAAAATATTTTTTAGTGTTTTTCATGATATTCACAATTAAACCCAGCTCAATAATTTAATATTTTGTGGAAGAAAGCTGTGGGGTATCAGAGCTATGAAATTCGTGCTATCTTTTGCAGTAAAAAACGCTCACTTTTTATTTTCCGGCTCCCGAACAAATTGAGACTTGGTCTCCGAGATCCCCACAGGCAATTGACTCTTCCCGTCGAACTCGACCCAGTCGTCGGAAAGGTCGACGTCCTCAAAAGTAGTGTTTGAGTCCAGACATTTCACCTCCCAGCCACCCTACAATGAAAAGAATTTAATTAATATTACTTAAAAATTTTGAGTTTAAAAATTACTTCAAAAGCAAACTGGAATGGCTCAATCCCCTTGCAGGTGAAGCTGACAATTGTTTTGAATTTTCCACTGTCGTCCTCGGTGTACTCTTTGCTGGACCCTTTCACAACGTCTGAGAGAAATTAAATTAAAATAATTACTTTTTCCAAAGTTAAAAAAAAATATTACCGATGAAACCAGGCCTCTTGCAGAATTTGCACTTCATGTGGAAGTTGACGTCGCCCTGAACGTCGCTGTACTGGTCGGCGTCCGACTCACTCACTTGGTGCCACGTCGGGTCTTCGGTTCCACACGAGCCGCATTTGACCTTTCAAAATCAAAATTTTCACGTTAATTAATCAAAGAGCAAAAATATTGAAAATTATTATACTTTGAGGCACCAATTGAAGGAGCCGTCACTTTTAGGCCGAAGAGTTTTGACCTGTTCCAATTCACAGCTTATTTGAAGTCCAAGTCTCTGAAAATTTTGAATAATAATTTACCATAAGAAAATTTAGGCAACTATGAAATTAAGGAAGGGACAGATTGTTTATATTTAAATAATTATAAAAAATTAACCATTCAGCTAAATAAACGTTTTGTTTTTATTTTACATATTTTGGGGATTTTATTGATTTATTGGTTCAAAAAAACATTACCGAATGAGATAAATGGATTTACTTACCATTCTCTCTAACGTGATTTTGAAAATTCAGTCAAAATCTGCGCAAATGTGTCGGTTTTTTTACCTTGATCGAGTATTATTATTATTTTGTGTTTTGATTCTCTGTTTTCATTTTGCCCGCAGTCCGCACACGTTTCCTTAGTCAAAGAGTTTAGCTTTTCGCTAACAGATGGTGCCTCATTCAATCTTTCTGAAACTTTCGCTATCAAAATTCTTCCTGCATTCTTTCTACATACAAAGGTATACAAAACAGACAACTTTTCCTTACAATGGCTTATTGTTTTCACGAAATTATTTAAAATTGGTCTTTTTTTTCTTATCCTTTCGCCGAGAAGTTTTGAACAAAATCAAGCAAAATAATAACAATTATTAATAATTATTACTTTTATTACCAATTAAATATACAAATTATTAAAACATTATTTGTAAATTTTTTTTCAAACATACGAATTTAATATTTTTTATATAAATGTATTCTTTAACTAATTAAAATCATGCTTAGTTGTCTTTTTTATAAAAATATCGCAGCACTGCTTCAAAATTTTTTTTTTTTAATTTGAAACAAAAATCCTCCTCGATCAATCTCGTCTCAATATATTTTTTGCTCAACTTTTTTATTGCATTATTGATGATTTTCTCCAGTTTTTCATCATCCTCAGGACCAATACTTCTAATGACTTTTGCTACCACCAGCGAGGAAAAGAGGAGCAAAGTAACGAGATTACATTTTTCTCAATTTTCCTTTTCCTTGGCTTCTCAGTAAGAGGGATATATATTTTTCCTCTTCTTTTTTCTTGGGCGATTTTTCCTCTTTTTCCTCGACGGGAAGAAAAGAGAGAAGATGGTCGAGAAGAAAAGGAGGCGAAAAGAAAGAAATATACGTACAAAGAAGAAAGGAAAGAAGAGAAAACGGACGCGCGCGCTCGTGTAGCCCTGTAGCTTTTTCCCTCTTGCTTAATATATTTTCTTCTTCTTCTTCTTCTTGGTCGTGTGGGAGGAGGGAATGGAGAGAAAGCACACAAGAAGTATGAAGAGAAAAAGTTTTTTTCGAAAAGAAAAAATGGCTTCGAAGGAAAAGGTAACAAAAAAATTGTGAGGAATATTTTCTAAAATTAAAATAAATTTTAATGAATAATGGTGAAGAATTCACTTAAGACAGCCAAAAAGCCCAAATTATTTTTACTTTTTAGATTTTTTTATTCAATTAAATCTCAAACTAACGATATCTGACTGGCACATCCTGATGCAACTTTTGAATACATGAGAGTGTGTTAAAATTGCAATAAAAAAGCTAAGAATTGAATTGTAAAAAAAAAAAAAATTTAAATTAAATATTACACGGAAAAAACGATTATATCAACTATATTTGGTGAGTCTGTCATACAAGAATAAAACAAAATAATGCGAATTCAACCAAACTAGAAAAATCTAACGGAGAGGAATATAGTTGGCTATATTAATGTTGTTAATTTCATGCAAAGACTTTCAAGAGTCACTATTAAATATTTTTGATAAAACGACTTATTAGAAACATATATTTAAATGAAAGTTTCGGTCAAAAAGGACCACTCTGATTTGGAGATGGAGCGGAAAAGACTGAATCGTTTTAAAAAGAAATAATGCAATATTTTGCAAAAGAAAAGGTTTAAAAAATTATCATCTTGTATTGAATACCAAAGCTCACATGACATGAAATCATTTTGATCTCTGAACATTGAACAAAATTCTTGCTAATAGCGGTTATTGACTTTATTTTATTTCGATGGTTTTCATATTTTGCAACAATTTTACAAATAAATATATAAAAAATCAATTCAATAAACTATTCTACTCGAAGATGAAAAACTTTTCAATTGAAATTCAATAATTAAAATTTAAATAAGATCCTAAAAGGTCTCATTTTCTATATTAGTTTAAAAAAAGCTATTGAAGCGAAAGTCTGGACTTTTTATATATCGGTGCAAAATTTTTTTGCCTAGAGCTCAGAGTTATTATTATTGCAAGAGAGAACCCTGGAAAGTTTTCCTTGTTCTTCTTCTTTCCTGCTCGTTTCTGCAGACGAGGGGGTTGGGGAGGGCGAGTCGAGGGAGGAAAGGAGGTCGGGGGTTGAAAGAGAAGCGAAAGAAAAAGAGAGAAAGAATAAGAAGAAGAGAGGAAGCTCTCTTTCTCTCTCCCTCGCATAAAATAAGAGAGAGAGAGAGAGAGAGAGAGAGGCGAGATAGTGGAGGCGAGCGAGAGCAGAGTGGCGGCGCAGCGTCGGAGCTCCTTCCTCGCGCACAATAGCAGCGAGAGGAAAAGAGAAGGACGGGGGAAAAGAGAGAGCTCTGACAAAGACTGGAACAAGTAGGTCTTAGGGAGAAAATAGGTCTTCTTTCTTTGATTCCCTGCTCAGTTCCTTTTTCGCCTCGCTCGCCGCTGCATGATCCGTTCGCCGCTCCGCAGCTTTTCGGATACTTTTCGGCCAACAACTCGGCGCTCACATTTCGGTAAGTCCTTTTTTTCTCCGCCTAATCTCTCCCGAAGGCTTATCAACCTATAAAAAAACCGATCGCTCGGTGGACCATTCTGATAAAAAGAAAAAAAAGATGCCTTATCCGGCTCCCGACCAGTTATCAGCTTTCTTTGATTTGTCTTCTTAAAAAATTAGCTGATTTTGTTGGAAAAGGAAAATTTTATTATTTTAAGTAATTTGCACAAAAGTTTACTTTCACTTTTACTTTCTGTTTTTATTTTTACCTCATTTTGATTTTAAGCATTTCATTAATTTACTCTGAACAAATTGTTCTGAATTACTAAATTTTAATTAAATTTTCTATTCTTGTAACAGTTGATTAGAAAAGCAGCCGAAAAAATGTTGATTTAAAGAGAGGAAACGACCCTTAAAATTGTATTTATTTCAATAATAAATAATCTTTTCTAAAATAAAATACACCTTAAATGAAATGAATTTTTATTAAACTGGATTTCCCACAAGGAAAACTTTTTATAGCGATATTTTTCCTTAAACTTATCGTTTTTTTTTGTGTTTAGTTTCTTTTTAAACTGAACATTTCCCTGTTGCAATTTTAATAAATTTCAATTTTTTCGTCAACAACAACACTTAAATCGAAAAAATCTCATTTTTTTTTTATTAATAAAATAATTTCATTCTCTTTGCCAACTTGCTTTCCATTTCCAATGAATTTATTGTTGTTGCACCATTTCTTCTCCACAAACAACTTCCGTGTTGGCCGCGCTTTCCATCAATTTTCAAACAAACGAGTGTCTGTTGCCAAAAAAAGATTTGGGCAAAAAAAAAAACGCTCGCAGCCGCGCGAGAATCGAGAAAACACTTTCGACGCTTTTCGTTTTCATCGGCGGCTCCGCGAATCGCAACGCGTTTATAATAAGTGAAATTCACGCGCGCGCCAGCGACAATTTCTCTTTTCTTATTCGCTAAACTCGCGAGCTATTCTTTCTCTCCGTCTCTCTCCTCCGTTGCTTTTGCTCGCATGTGTAAATCGCGCACTTTCTAATTTTCGTGCGTCCGCCGCCGCCGAGTGCGCCGGAGAAAGAAGCTGCTCTTCGTTTCGTTCCTTCCCTGACCCATCCAACGCTAAACGCACTCTCGATTTTCGTCACACACACTTAAAAGAGACCGCTTCTGAATAGGCCTACGGTCATTCCCAAAAAACCCTATATCAGAGGAAAGCTCTCATTTGTGCGCAGCAAACCTTGATTGCCGCCTGAAGACAAGAATCGGGTTTGTTTATTTTTAGACGAAGATAAAAAAAAAACACTAATTGTGACCCAAAAAATACCACCTAACTGAAATAAAGGCTTAAATTGAATAATCTTGGAGTTAAAATGAAGTAATTAATTACTAGTAATTAATTAATTAATTAGTAGTTAATTAATACTAACTCACATTTTTCTTTTAAGAATGCATTAAACGTTTTGTATTAGAAAAATTGTTTAAATTTTGTGTTCTCTTAGATTGTTTTCCTTTTGGTGTGTTTAATGAAAATATAATTAAAAAAAAGCGAACAACAATGGAGAAGAACTTCATGATTTTTAATTCACATTTGGAAATTGATGAAGAAGAATATATAGTTAGATGTTTATTTTAGTTAATGCCATGTAACTATTAAAGAATAATAAATACTTAAAAATAAAAATAAAAGATAATAGTAATTTAGTAAATGGTGAATAAAATAAATAAAAATCAAATAAATAACTTTAAAAATGAAAAATTTTACAGTGACTGGAGATTTAAAACTGTGGTAGCTTCAAAGCTTCTTTAAAATAAATCGACTGCTAAACCTTTTTCTAAATTTTCAGTTGAAAAGAAATCGCTAAAATGCGCAAGATGTGTATTTTTTTTTCAATTATTTTCAATTTAAATTCAAAATTATCGCAGTTTAATTTAGGTTATGATTTGAAGTGGTCCAATAAACAAAAAGGTGCAAATTTTAGTAGAGTGGTGTGATTAATTTAAAAGAGGAAAGGCACAGTTTTGTAGAAGATTGCAATAATTTTTTTTTTTTTACATTTCTCATTATAAATTATAATTAACATTTTAAATGGCCTTTTTTCTTTTTTCCTTGAAATTTTCCGAATTTTTCTCTCATTCACACAATAAAGCAGTCAATAGCAGAAAATGTTGAATCCAATCATCTATTAAATAAGAAATTTGAATTTCTTAAAATGTTTTTTATGCCTAACAACAATGATTACTAAACTATAGAATTTGATTTCATGAGTTGGTTTAAATTGGAAACAATTATGTAAATTTAGACTGATTATTTACATTTTACATTTATTTAAAATGTGCAAAAGAAGTAACATAACTTAATGGTTATGAGATAACAAACTTTTTTCCATTGCTATTTATAAAATTTGCTTAAACTTGTAACTATTTTATAATATAAAATTTTAATTTTTTGTTTTTATATTAAATTTTTGTTTAAAATTTAATAAAATTACTAATTATTTAAAAAAAACGATTACAAAAAACTTCAAATGAATGACCGATATGAATTAATGAGTCAATATTCGGTTTGCAAAACAAGGAAAATTGCGGAAAAATTGATTTATGAAATAAACCGATACTCATGACAAAACTACTTAGCTTACGCAAATTTGGTCAGAAATTGAGAAATTGCAAATTAGTGACTTAATGAGGCGTCGATCTGCACGACGAAATTAGCAAACTCTCGTTTTCACTGGATCTCACGCAGCACACGTGAGGCCAATTAAGATTCGTGTTTAATCGACGGCAATAAAAGAAAAGAGGCTGAAAATGAATTGATGATCGGCCGAGCATGAAGCTTCTTCTGTTTTTCTCGCGCGGCGCACGCAACGCGAGCGAGAAATGAAAAGTGAGCGGAGAGAGAGGAAGATTTCGCTCTCTCTGCAGCACTGCTGTGAAAGAGTGAAAACGAACACACACCGTGTTTGTGTTGCACCGAAGAAAAGGGAAATGGCGAGCGATTATTTCGTTACTGGGTCACTTGGTTCGCCGACAGCTCTCGCTCGCTCGCTCGCATCCTGACTTTTGTATACGGAGGCTGCACGTGTGTCGCTTAATTATTACTCACTCCTCTGGTCTTGCAAGAAAAAGTTGAAAAATATTACAGGAAAAAATAATTTTAATTACTTTAATTTGAAAATGTTCATTAAGTTCCAATTTTTCTTGATCCAGACTCTAGGCTTATCCCTAATATCCAAGATTCAAGTTTAAATTTAAAAAAAATCTTAATTTGCAGAATGGAAACCAAATTTTTTTGGAATGCACTTTTTATTGAAATATCCATAAATTGGGTCTTTTATCGATCCGCCTTTCTTTTTCTTAAAAATTAAATTTTTGTCCGTTTTTCATTCTTGAAATGAATTATTTTTAATAATTTTGTTTGGTTGATGAATGTCTGTTTGGCAACCAGCTGCTACCACAAAATTATTCCGCGATTGCAAGAAAGAGGGAAAGTTTTGCAGCTCTCGTCTGCGCGATTCGGAGAAATTCATCACTTTTCTTTTTACACGCACATGGAGATGAAGAAAGAAACATCGGACCTTGTGTTTTGGAATTTTTAAGAAAAACCAATTTCAATTCAAATCAATATAGTTTTTTATTTTTATTTTTTTTTTCTCTTTCTTTGAATTGCTCGGAAATTTTCTAACATAAAATTTTCTCAAAAATGCTTTAAATTTAATACAAAATTGGGCTAATAAACTTCATAACACCAAAATCAGGTTGCTTAAATAAAATCAATTTCACATTTTCAGAAACGCTTCAACATTCCTTTTGAAGTGAAAATACCAGAAAAGCCTCCTTATTTGCAATGAAATAAGAGAATTTTTTCCGCAGAATAAAATATTTAAATAATCAACGCACAATCCATCTTGATCTGAAGAAATATTCTCAATCTTTTGCTACAAATGTGGACCTTTGTTAAATATAAAAAATGTTTTTGATTAATTATGTAAAACACTGCAGAAGGAAAAAGCAAAAAAATAACCAATCTTCCGATTTTTGTAAAACAAAAAAAAATTGTTATTCTTCTTGACTTCAAAACATTTCACTTTTTAGATCCAGTTGTGCTTTATTAAATTGCTCTCTTCCACTACACGATAAAACGGCATCAACTTTCTGGAGCTGCCTCGTTTTTTTGCTCGTCTCGGCTCAAGCAAAAACTATTAAAAGCAACTCTCATTTCTCAATTCTCGCGCCGCCGAGAAAGAAAGTGCGAGCGCGCGTGTATATTCCGCGGCTAAACTCTCATTCATTGTGTGCTTCTATCTTTTTACACGAGCTCGCGTGGAACAAGGAAAGGAACGGTGCACACAACACAAGCATAAATACATTACGAATTTGAAAGTTTGTGACGTCACTCTCACAACTCTTTAACTTGGCGAAGAAAGATGAGCGCGAGCGCGCGGAAGAAGAAGGGGAAAAATTGAGCCGCGATTACGTGACGATTGTCCTCGTATTAATAATACCGCAGCGATAAAAGTTCCAATGCGGGCGATTATGATTCTCATCTCGCGTTATTAATTGGCACCTGCAGCGTGCGACAAAATCGGAGTGAGAAAAATAATATGGAGAAAGAAAAGAAATAGAAAGTGATCAAAAGTAAAAGTCAATTACCCATGCAGACAGCTTCTGTTTATGGCCAACCTTTAATGGTGCACCTGTCTTTCTTTTCAAGAATAATTTATAAAAAAAAACGCATTAAACAAGACTAAGAGCAAATTTGAATAAAGTGATTACAATTACTTTGATTGGCCTTTGTAATTTTTTGTTGAGCCCATAAATATAAATAATTTAATTAAGTAATTAAAAATTTGGTTTAAAATATAATTTTATTATTCAGTTTTATTGATTCTTTCTCTAAATTTTTATTTTAGGACTGCGGCGTTAAATGAATACCAACAACCAACACTTTTGTTTACGATGGAACAACTATCAAGCAAACATGACCTCCGTTTTCCACCAGCTCCTGACGGATGAAGCCTTCGTGGACGTCACCCTCGCCTGCAATGAGGAAACCCTCAAAGCACACAAGGTAAGTTAGTAAAAAAAATCATACAAAAATGGTGAAATGGGGACATTGTATGACAAATTATATAGTTTAAAGTATCTTTTAAAAACTTCATAAAATATAGAAGTATGCAACCTGCGCAACAACTTAAATTATTGTTTATTGCAAAATAGAGCAAAATTTTCAAAACCAATCTGAATAATCCAAAGTTTTTTGTAAATTTTCTTTTGATATGAAACTGTTGTTTTAAATTAAAAGGTTGTTTGCTAAATCAGGATTTTTTTGCATTATTTAAAATTTGAAGAATAAACAATAAATTTTATTTTAATTATTCATAAAAATTTCAATAATTTTAAATTCTAATGAATCGTAAACAATTTTTGACACCAATTGAAATAAATTTTATTTGACATAAATCAGTAAAAATGACCTAAATTTTGGTTTTTTTTTTCAAATCATTCTCAATCAAAAACTTGTTGCAAGTTTTTTTTTTAAATAAGATTTAAGATAATTTGAAATTATATTATTCATAAATTTTCAAAATTAACTGTAAACGTGCAGTTAATATTTTAAATATATACAAAATCCTAAAAAAAAATATTTTTGTCGTTCTGTTTTAGGTGGTCCTGTCGGCATGTTCGCCGTACTTCCAGAAACTGTTACTGGACAACCCATGCAAGCACCCCGTTATCATCCTCCCTCAGGAGGTGAGTTTCCTTGACCTGCAGTTCATCATCGACTTTGTGTACCGCGGTGAGGTGGACGTCAGTCAGGAGGAGCTGCAGAGTTTGCTGCGAACGGCCGAGCAGCTCAAAATCAAGGGTCTGTGCGACGTGGCCGCCCGCGAGATGGGCCACCGCGGCCACGCCAAAGTCAAGTACTCGACGTTCAAACGCAAATTGCACGAGCCGGAGCCCATCGAGTACTACAAATCATCCAACTCGGAGATGGACGACGAGTATGAAGACGACGACGTGGACGTCGAGGACGACTATGAAGACGACATGGAACCCAAAAACTACAGCAGGAAGGAGCCCTTAATCGACGTCAACGCCAACTCAACACAACAGAAGTCGCACGAGCCACCCATCAGCAGATTGGACGACCCGCCACCTCTTAAGGTGAGTCATTAAACGGGGGCTCTGCATTCTGTGTATAAATATCTTTTATTTCTGAAGTTAGATTAAATTTCATGAATGATGGGAAAATCGGAATTTAAAAATTCCCATTTTGGGGTTAAAAATTTGTATTCCTGCCAAAAACCATTTGAATAGCCTGATATATAAGACCATAAATTCACTAAATACGCAAAATATGTATGAATAAATAGAAAACTTAATCACTTACAATTTTTTTTTATAACTTTAAAATGTTTATTTCATTTATTTTCTTTAAAAAAAATTTGGCTGAAAAAAAACATAATTTTTTGAAGCAATAAAACTGCTAAAATTTTGATCCTGATTTTTGAACTTTAAAATTTTTCAGCCAAAGGAAGAGAATCATCAGCAAGCAATGATGATCACCCCAGAACTCCTTGGTCTCATTCCAACCTCCGCCCTGAACAACCTGCATAGTAAAACAGGTAATTTTTAATTTTTATATAACTAAACTTATGGGCTTTTTTTAAAAATTATCCCCTTCCTCAGTTTCCAGCGAAAACGAGTTGACGTCGACGCACAAAACGACAAAACACTGGACGCAGGAGGACATGGAGTTGGCGCTGGAGGCGCTGCGCTCGCAGACCATGAACCTGACCAAGGCGTCGGCCACCTACGGCATCCCCTCCACCACCCTGTGGCAGCGAGCCCATCGACTGGGGATCAACACCCCAAAGAAGGACAACGCGGCCAAGACGTGGAGCGAAGCGGATCTTGAGGTGGCCCTCAAAGAGCTGCGCGCGGGCAGAATTTCGGCCAATCGCGCCTCCAAGCAGTACAACATCCCCAGCAGCACGCTTTACAAGATAGCGCGGAAAGAGGGCATCAAACTGTCAGCGCCCTTCAACGCCTCCCCCACCTCTTGGAACTCCGACGACCTTTCACGGGCCCTGGAGGTAAATTTTCAAAGTCTCTAACGGTTCTAAAAACGGAATTAATGAAATTATTGAACTGCCAATTTACAAATTTCAAAAAATACCTGGAACATGTTCCAACTTCAATCAAATTTGATTTCCAGCACACCTTTGGGATCCTATAATTTGGATTATAAAAGAACTGATTAAAAATTAAAATAATTTTGTTAGAAAATCCTTTAATTTAGTATTTTCCCGTTTCAGGCAATTCGAAGAGGGGCCTCCGTCCAGAAAGCCGCGTCCGAGTTTGGAATTCCGTCCGGGACTCTTTACGGAAGGTGCAAGCGCGAAGGCATTGAGCTCTGCAAAAATACCCCTGTGCCCTGGAGCCACACGGACATGTCCGAGGCGCTCGAGGCGGTCCGCGTGGGCGACATGTCCATCAACCAGGCGGCCATCCACTACAACCTGCCCTACTCAAGTCTCTACGGCCGCTTCAAGAGGGTCAAGTTTGACGACAACAAGATGGACTACGATGTGTTCACCAATTGCTCCAGTGATCCACACTGACCCTGGTTAAATTTTTAATTCCTCTTTTCGAGAAGAGGAGTTAGTGACAAAAATCCATCTCAATTTTTTGTATTCCAAGTGTGTATTGTATTATATTCCGTGTAAATAATGCTAGATTTTTTACCTAGGTCATAATTAATGTAAGTTTCTTCAGTGGTTTAAATTAAATTACATCTTGTAAATAAACATCTGCTGTTACGCATCATCCAGTTTTGAAATTGAACTCTATTGTGTTCGATATCTCTCTTTTGTTATAAAAATTGTGAGACAAATAAATTTAAGACAAACAAAAGGTTTTTTTGATTTTGCGAAATGAAAAATTCCAATTATTATTTCATGGGTGGTCAGCTTTTTTAAATATTGCACATTAATCAACAATAACAATCTGATTGCACATGCAAGAAGTCCGTTAATACACGAAAGAATAAAATTCAGGTGGTATCAGTTCCTTTGTATATCTCGTCTCTCAGGAAAAAAACTCAGTGAAAATAAATTACACAACAATAATTAGCAAAATAATTATTATGGAAAACGATTAATGAAAAATTGCACAAGACCGGACGTTATTTTAAGTATATATCTGTAGGAAATTAATAAGTGAAGAGATAAAATGAACACGCAGAATTTATCATTTTTAGTACTGGTACCACGGCTGGCGACGCACCCAGCGCAGGCGGATGCCGGCGTCAGTGCGGATCTTGATCGAAGCCGACTCGGCCGCGCGCACCGTCTCCTTCACGGACTGCATCAGGTTCTGAGCGTTGCCCACCAGCATGTCCGTCGCCTCCTGGTCTTCCTCTGAGTCTGCAAGGAAAGAGGCAGGTTTAGACAGGAAATCTTGCATTGAGATCAAATGGTGGGAAAGAGGCATGCAAGCACCACGATGCAGCCAAGAGTGCCTGGCATGCCGCAAAAACCTAATTAATTTGTAATTAAAAATGCGCTTCTTTGCTTTGGTCATTTTCTTACCCAAATTAAAGTGGATTTGAAACCCTAGATATAAAAAATAAAATTAATTTAATAGTGGCAAATACTCATAAACACAATTTCTTCATTTAAATTCACATCCATATTTGGTACCAAACATAAACTTTTTTAAAGTTTTTCCTTAAATTTAAGAGAATTTTTTAGTATTTAAATCCTGCTAATTAATTTTGTATTGCTCCTGGCAAATTTGTTTGCTGTTTCAATCAGATCCACTTTAAAGAATTAATTTCATTATTATTGGAATTTTTTAATATGAGCCCGGATCCGCTCTTAATAAATTAGACTGTCATTTTTTTATATGATTAAAAAAGCCCTGTCTCTGTCTGCTGGTAAAAGTACTTACTTGCTCCGATTAGGTCACCTGAGCATGCAAATAGGTTCAGAGAAATGGATAAATTGGTTTCAAGTGTAAACATTAAGTTAACAATTTCAACACCTTTCATGAGTGAACAGCAAAAATATTTCATACAACATTACTGAGTGAATAAATACTGGTAAGGGCATGCTTTTTACAACAACACACTCCATGCCTAAAAGTGAGTGGCTAGGAAATTTACCGCCTCGGATTTCGCCATCCTCAAATCTCGGAATAAACTCTGCGGAATGGAAGGTGGTTATTGAGCATCAATATGGACAAAGCTTTTTAATTTTTACAAAAATAAAAATTCAAAAAAATCAAAGCGTTTTACAAAAAAGCTTTAAAAACTGACAGAATTGTGATTGTTCTTATTTACAAAAACAAAAAATTAACCTGGAATTAACTAGATTAATGAAAACATTAGTTCGTCAAAAGAAGAGATTTTTCTGAAATTCGAGTATGTAACAAATAAGAACTGAAATTTACCTTGTGCGCCCAGCATGGTAGCTTTGACGGTGGACAGGATTTTCAGTTGTGTTCCAATGGTGGGTATTCTCTCACAAACTTGAAGCAAATTCTGAAAACATTTTATTGTTAAAAATAGAATTTTAAATAACTTTTTAACGTACTGTTCTCATGCGCTTGTCAGTACATTCTCGGGCAAGTTCCTTGGCCAATCTGGTGACCTCCTCACTGGCCTCGGCAATGGCCTTGGCGCAGGCAATCAGGTCACGCTTAGAGCCGCCGTGATCTCCTCGCACCAACTGGGACAGACGACCCATCAACAGGGCCATCTTCTTGGCAGCCGCAATGATCTCATTGTCCTTGCTCGACCACTGGCGCACTTCTTGGTGCAGACCATGAGCGGCCATCTGCCATCAATCAAAGGACAAAGATTTAAATGAAAATTTTTAATTCACAGGAAAATATTTCTCATAACTGCATAATTTTTTTATTAAAAAAAAATCTTTTCGATATTTTTGTAAATCATGAATTAAAAAAAATTGATTTTTAAATAAGTTTTTGCGCACCATGATTGGCTGATTAGGCTGAGGTGCATGCATAAACATGTCATCCTCGTCATCCGTCTCTGGTGGAGGCGGTCTTGGGGGTGGCATTTCACCACCTGGCAAAGGCGGTCTTGGTGGGGCACGTTCTGTAAAAAGGATTTAGAATTAGACCCTCTATAAATAAATAAAGATAAATGTTTAAGCTTTCATTAATTTCAAGCAGCAAAAATAATTGTTTTTAGTATTGAAGTTAGTGGCAAAAAAACTCACCATCACAGTAAGTAGGAGTTCTGAGGTAGGACGAAGGATTACTGAGATGTTTCCAGTCCAAGCCTTTTTAGTAAGCAAACGGTTTTGGTTAGATAAAAAAAAAACACATCAAGAGTTTTAGAAATTTGCGGAAAGGGACACAATTTTTTTTCACACTCAAAGAAAGTACCTTCCTCCGTAGGGGAAATGTACTCTTTGGTGAAGGCAAAGATTTTGTTTAGGTCAACGTTGAAAAGATTATTATGGCCAGCATCCCTTTTTTGCGGAGCTGCAACTAGACACGACGTCAACAACGATAAAGTTAGGCTCTTTATACATCGAAAGCGGTAAAAAGCAAAAACATGGACTTCCACCTTTAATTATATAGTCAAAATACAAAAAGCACTTCCTGTTGCCAAAAAGAACAGGAGACAAAATTCCTGCGTCTTTCGAGTATAAGATTAGTGAGCAATTAGGAGAAAAACCCTTACCGTGCAGACTGAGGGCACTCATGTCTGGCGGCGGAGGCACTTCTGGGGTCACAGTCACTGCCTGTCGCACTTCGCCGACGGATTTCAGTAACTGAAATTTATTTTATCTCATTAGGCAACAGAAAAATTTTCATTGAAGTAAAATTTTTTTTATAAGGTACCAAGTTTTACGCAAATGAAGCTAGTTTTTAAATGATTCAACAAAACAAATAATTTGGAAAAAGGACTTAAGATTTTTACATTTAAAAACATGATATATATTCATGAGAAAATTCTAAAAATTATTATTTAAATAATAGAAGAGGATTATTTATTAATAGTTTTAAACTTTTATGTACAATTATGATTATTAAATAATTTTTATGTTCAAACTTACAGCTTTGTTGGCCTCCCTCCACCTAGAGATGGAGTTGTGATCATCGGGGTTCATGGCCACCGACTTGGCAGACATGACGAGCGGAGCCACACCTTTGAAAATCAAATTTAATAAATTTTCCAAATTCTGACAAACTTTGTATATTACAGTTCTGGACATTATCTGAAGCCCGGTTGACTCGGTCAATGAAAATAGGATCTTCCGAGTTTTCGGACTCCTGCTTTGCAACGGCAAGCACCCTGTTGGCAAGGCGCGCCTCCATGGTGGTGTTGTCCACCATCTTCTGGGGCTGCCTGTTCCTGATGGCCTCCTCGCACAGGATGGCGTGCTTCTGCATCTGCTCCTCGGACAGACGGATAAACTCAGCACTGTCCGTCGCCTCATCGCATAAAGCGCGGGCTCGCAACACGGAGTCAGCATACTGAGCCCTAAGGTTCTCAAAATGTTCATCAGCGGCCTGAAAAATAAAATTTATTATGAAAAAAATCAGAAAGTAGGAAAGTGAGGAGGAAAAAAATTATTGCTATTTAAATATTTTTCATAACATCCACCTTTCATGCATTCAATTTTTGTAAAATTTTAGAAATCTACTTTTATAATGGCATTAAAAAAAATTTTTGAAACAACATTATCAAAATTTCATGATTGATCAAATAATGAGTTAACCTTGTTCTCAGGGTAGTTCATTCTGATGCGACCAGCGTGCACCAGCTGCGGGGTGAGGCTCTCCATCTGGTTGGCGGCCGAAATGAGGGCCTCGGCAAGTTTCTTGTTGCCGCCACTTCCTCCCGCGGCCACCATTCTCGCGGTCCGAGCGGCGCGGTCGCTGAACTGCCGCAATTGTTGTGCCCTGTCCAAGAAGTTGACGTCCCTGTTCGGTGTTCCTGCAGAAGAAATTAATTTAAAATATTTGCTTATGATGAAACAGACAGACAATGAGCAGAAAAATGAAATGAATGTTGAAAGGTGTGTGATATGAATTATAAAGTAAGGGAGTTTATGAAACCAGCAAATGGATTGTTTGGTTTTACTAATGAGTAATAAGATTGCTTAGAGATTGCAATAAAATGGAATTTCTTGCTTGCGGTTTCAATAAATAAAAGTAGGATTAACTAATTCACACAAAAAATTATAAATACAGTAAAAATTAAATAAACAAATTATTTGAAAAAATGTTTTAAAAAAATTTGATCTATTTTATTTTAATTTCAAGATGCTTAAATCTAAAATTAAAATTGATTTCCAGGAAAAATGAAGAAAATTACCTTCAGGGGCGAGGACGGCGTCGGTGAACAGTTTGAGGGGCGTGTTGACGTCAATGAAGTCCTCAACAACACGGTTGACAACCGCGTTTTGGATGCGCGTCTTCAGCTCGTACAGTTTCTGCGACAAGTTACGAGCGATCGCTTGGGCGTGCTCGCTGTTGCCCTGTCCAGCGCGGCACAACTCGCCAAGTTGGCGTGACAGCAGGTCCACTTCGTCGCACAAGCCCAGGATTTCAGCCTTGTGGGCGCCAGGAAGTCCTTCAGCCACCTGAATTTGTAGAATTTTAGGGGAAAAAATTGAATTCAAAGTAGAATTTCTAAGAGATAATGCAATAACTGTAGGAATGGTTACTTAGTTTTAATATGGTAATCATTTAAAACTGTCAAGAAGTCAAGTTTAAATAAATATTTATTTGATTTATGAATATGTTGAGGGCATTTCCGCACACAAACAAATTGCTCCAGCTCAAGCTAGACCAGAGCTAACATTTGAGGACAGCTTACTCTCAGTTGATATGGCACCCCTCCCAAGGAGCTCAAAAAATACCTCATGAGCCCCAAAAATGAGTTGAGTGCACATACTTATAAAAAAAAACAATGAAAAAAGATCAATAACTCTAAAAAACTAATACTTACTTTGTTATCCTTTTCACAATGCAAGCAATAAAAATTCAAAATAGTAAAAACCTCGTATCTTTTCTCCTAATATTTTCAACTTAGAATATCAATTGAACTGACCTTCTTTCCTTCCTCGACGATAAGAGCGATGGCCCTTTGACCAAGGCCACGGTCGTCCCTGTCTGGGTGTGCAAGCCAGCGTCTGGCCTGTTCAAGCCGGCCAGTAACCGTGTGGGCCGGTTGGGCCATGCCGCACCTCTCAACTCCCAGCACGGAGCGGCCCACCAGTCTCTGCAGGTCGGCCAGTTTATCCTGGATACCGTGGCTGAGTGACTGCGCCTGCGGGGTGGCACCCTTGCCTGAGGCCCTCAACTCGCACAGGGCGTCTGTCATTGCAGTGATGTCGCCGCACAGTTTTCGGACGTCGTTTGCATCGCCCGGCAGAGAGCGGTCGGCCACCTTGTGAGCGTGGTCCAAAATCTGGCGCACCGATTTCTCTCCAATTCCTCCTTGGAGAGCCAGAGGATCCTGGAAAAGTTTGCCGAAAAAAAAATATTAGAAAAAATTATGAAAATGTTTATTTTTCTTTTTTAATATACTGAAAGTTGTGAATAAATACATATCTGATCATTAAAATTCATATATTTATGTCACAAAAAATATGCATGTAGTTTTAGAAAAGATTGTAAGTTTTTAAATTTGATGCGAACAAAATGTTTCTTTTAAAACGTTTTTAAATGAAATTTTAAATTAAATAGTTAGAAATTATCAAAATTACCCCTAGCCAGTCATGGGCCGCCTGCATCTTAGAGTCAATAGCGTTTTGCGCCTTCTTCATAACCGTCAGGTCATCAGCGTCCCATTCCTCCTCGTCGTAGGTGGTCAGTTGCAGAACACGAATGATCTCATTGATTTCATCCGTCATTCTCTGTGACAGATAATTTCTGTTCTCCGCAGCTTCGTCAGCACCTTTGCCACCTGTGAAATTAATTCAAACCAAAATTATTAGATCTAAATTTGAAATCAAACTCAGACAGACATTTAAAGTATTAAAAAGATTTCTGAAATTTAAATATTATTATAGCAAAATATAGGATTTATTGATTGTCAAAGGAATTTTTGTGTCAAAAAACAATAATTTTTGCATTTTTTTTAGTGAAAAGTTCGAATACTATGAATTAAGGTTGTGTTTATTTTGAGTGTGCTTCAGTGCAAATTTAAGGAAATGCAAGTGATTGGTGTACCCTGAGAGATGATGTGGATGAAGATTTTCATGCTGCAGATGAGAATAGGAGCCAGTGTTTTGACCTGCTCGAGGCACCTGACCAGGATCTCCCTGTGCACTTGGTGGGTCAGTTCTTTCTCTCGTGCGCCCACTTCCCTCGACACCTTTTGCACAACAACATTTTACACAGTTTAAAACAGGTGCTTTATTTTTGCTTTGTTAATTTAAAATAAAAAATTTATATCAAACCTTGCTGAGACAAGGACTGAGGTCCTTAAGGAACTGAACCAGGTCCTCCATGGTCTCGATGACCTCGGCCACAGCCAGGTAGTCGAGCACCTTTTTGCACTCGCGGATGATTTTGCGGACCTCGGACTCGTCGAAGCAGAGGAGGAGGGCAGAGGTGCCCTGGAGGATGCCTCGGGAGCCTTCAATCAGCTTCTTGCGAGCAGGACCTTCAATTAAATTTACAATTCGGTAAAAATTGTTAAATATTAAATTAATTTCATGGTTTTGAAGTTTTAAACTGTTATATTTTTTGTGGTTTTAATCAAATTATTGGTAATATTGAGAGAAAATATAAGAATTTTATTTTGATTCTTTACAAAAAATGAAATAAATTAAAGCCTAACTAATTTATTGATGTGAAATTTTTATCATTTATATTCCCAATATAATTGATTTATTTTGAATTATAGATGATATTTAAGTATTGTATTTGTTAATTATTACCTGAGTAAGGATCATGCTTGAGCATGCTGGAGGCGTCTTCAAGGAGTCGAGAGGCGCCCTCGACCCTGTGCAGCGCCGCCGGCATGTCCTGCTTGAGGATGGCGTCGTCGCTTGAGTTGATGGTCTCTCGGCCGACCTTGACCAGGTTGGCCACTGCCCGGCTGACCGCCTGCACCGGACGCTCCAGGTCCGGCATGGCGTTGCCATCTTCGGCTTCCTCATGGAGGATGACCAGTCGGGACACCTAGGAAAAATAAATTACACTTGAACTTATAAAATTTTGAGATACTAAATCAAGGAACAAAAATAATGAAAATTAAATAATTTTGATATTTATTCTCATTTTATTATTCAATCTGTTTTAAAATAAATTTTATTTCTTCCGTAATTATTAAAAAGTTTTAAATTTAAAGATTTAAAATCGTGATGACATTAAAATTTAACTTTTTTATATATTTCTTTAAAATTCATTTTACTCTGTTTTGCTAGCCCTAAAAGAAAAAAAAGAAATGCTACTCTTGATTGCTATCTCCAGGTAGGTGACTTTTGGCAACTCATTTTATGTACTTTGTTTATTTATTTTTTAAATTTTATTCCACGAAAAAGAGCTTTCTTTGCTTGAGAAGCAGATTTATTTGTCACGCGACGAATCGAAACAAACCTCCGCGCCAACTCTGCTCTTTTTTATTTTTTTTTCTCGTCGGGTTTTGGGTCGTCGGACACGTTGGTCCAGCGTAAAAAAGGGAGTGGCGCAGAGTCGACCATATGCACCACAATCTGCTATTTGCGGCCAACTCGACTAAAATAGCAGCACACACATGGCACTCCAAGCAGTTTTGAGCCGAGATTCGCCGCCGCTCAGGTTTCCCGCATTTTCCGCTCCGGACGAAAAAAAGAAACGAGCGTCCGGTGCAGCAGATTAAGGCGGTGAATGGGCGAACATTCAATTATAGGCGGTTGTGCGAACGACATAAAATAAAAAAGAAATAAAAAAAGTCGGTGTGGGTCGATCCGGTGGAATGCCATTGATCGCCCAACCTCTTCACTCCCATCTGGTTCTCGGACCTCTCAAAAGATACATTAAATATTTCATATTTGTTTTTTTAATTTTCTCCAAGAAAAACTACATGTAAATTTTTAACATTTAAAAAAAAATTACGAAAATTTCATGAGAGCTAAAAAAATAAATGCTTTGATTTAGATATAAATTTACAGAAAAACTATATTACTTTTTTATTTTCCAACAAACTAATTTAAACTTTTCATGATTGTCCAAATGAAGATAAAATTTTGAAAAAAAAAAAATATACATAAAATAATATAATTCAACTTATTAAAAATTTTAAAATTAAATCTATCTGATCTATTTCTTGATGTGTTAAAATTTGGCGAACTTGTTCCATTATTTAAAGAGTTCAAACATTCCATCTAAAAATTGTGAAGTTTCTTGGGATTTTCCGGCTCCTTTTTCTCGCACTTGGCAGCAGTTTTGCATTTTATTCATGAGAGGAAACGGCGGCGAGAATGATTAAGTGAAGAGCCGCGCTTTCTTTTGGCACCACCCTAGCTCCTGCTCGCGGCAGCGTTGCGATTTTTTTTTGTATATTGTTCAAGTATATGTATAAGTACCAGAACGCAAGAAGTCGTTTTTCATTGCAGGCGGGGCAAGGTCACTAACTAGAACACAATCGAGCGCCTCTTGTCTGCTGACCAAAGTAGCGCGTCTGGCGTCGTCAAGAACTGCGCCAAGGGGTTTAACCGAAAGGAGTGAGATGGAAATGTTTATACAGAAAAATCTGCAGGTAAACCTAAATAACGTGGTAAAACTGAATACAGAAATTTTCTTATTTATTTTAAGAAAATCGTTGGCAAATGAATTATTAAATTATCAACTCCAGAGAAATTTTAATTGAATGGTTTTATTTTCAATAAAAAAATATTTTAAAATTGAAATTTTTTTTATTTTTAAATTTGAAGTGTACTAATTTTGAATCTAAATAAATTTAGATTAACATTTAATTAACAATTTTTATTCCTCAATTTTCTTTAAAAAAAATTTTTTTTAAATAATTTATTTTCACTTTTTTTAATAATTTTATTTTTTACTTCGAATTCCCAGCTATTTTTAATTTTAAATTATTTAGAATTTTCACCTAATTCATCTTTCACGTATACCAAAGCGAATTGATTCCTTGCCATTTTTGATTCGACAAGTAAAGCCTCTATTTGGTGTTATTTTTATGATACAAAAGGCAGGCCATCTGTTGTTGTTGTTGTTATAAGAAAATCGCTTTCTCCACTGCACGTTTCCAGCCTTTTGCACCGAATAGGAGAAATAACGCTGCGGTCGTGATGCAACTCGCTCATTATTTGTCTCTAGCTAGGTGTTCCATAAAAGGCAAGGGCCGTGGAGATGCGGTGGGTGGGGCGGCGGCCAGCCGGCGCGAACTGTGACGCGTTTGTCACATCGCAGGCCAAAGAAAAGCCACAAAACCGCAGGAAATTTGAAGTAAAAAGTTAAATTTCCGTGTAAGGCAAACCTCAACTCAACCCTTCTTGTGATAGCTGGGTTGGATTTCCTTTGGAGCAGAAACAAGAGCATTAATAAATTTTAACATTCTTATATTTAATTTAAAAATATTTTAAATATTAATTATGTATAAATCAGATATTTTTTAATTTTATAAAATGATGATTTTCAAATGACATTTAAATAAAGAAAAATTATGTTTTTCATTTGAATTGCCAGTCAAAAATTAAGTATTTAATAATATCTAAATTTATCAATTCATATATTTGTTTACTTTTTGAGTGTTTATGGTTGATTTGATGCAAAGGATCTGTTTGATATCAGAACGAGCATATTATGAAGGGCCATCTTTGTGCTCGGGGAGAAAAATGCCAGGGTTTTGTTTGCGTGCGAGTGAGAGCGGTGGTGATCTATGGCACCAGATAAAAGACAGACAGAGAGTGACATCACGTACGCTTTATTGGCCTGCGAATATAAAAATAAATTCAGCGTCGCGGCCGCCGCTCGGATGTAAACACGGCGGAAATTATCCGCAATTAGTGTCAGCGCGAGTGACAACGAAAGCTACACACCGGCCCCAAAGGAGCAAAATTAACGAATTTTTTCTCGTAAATTTTTCAAATTGATTTCATTGAAAAGAGAGAACATTTTAATTTATGGCGAAAAATTGAAGTGCTTTAAAAAATAATCAAAGAAGTTAATTGTTTTATTTTCAATAATTTTATTAACTATTTAGAAAGAACTTTGCAATTAAAATAATTTTTCAATATTTGATTACTTATTCATTTCTGTATTTATGCATTAAATTATGAATCAACTCATCGTCCCATTCCTTTGTGTCATGAGTGGCAATTGGTACAAAAGTAATGGCTCTTATATTATGAGCGCAGACCATATAAATAAAACCATTCCAACTGCATAAGTTAGTTGATAGTTAAGTGAGCTTCAAGGTTGCTCAAGTACTCATTTAATCAATTACAATGGGAGCCTCTTGGAGCTCAACTAAATATATGCAAATATTAAGCATTCAAATAAATATGATTTTTTTTTTGGTCCATTTAAAAGAAAAATTTAACTTCAAAATCACTATAACCAAAAGCGGTCCAATATAAATTCTACTTTTTTGCTGCTTTTTTTGTAGTATAATTTTTAATCATTCCATAGCTATTAATTAAGTGTTGAAATAAAAATCTATTTCGAGAAAAAGTATGATAAGTAAAATTTTGATTTTTTTTTTCATTCGATCTAAGTTCTAGTCAATAAATTAACAATAACAAAAATTAAAAATATGCATTAAATAAAATGGTGATAATTTTTAATCTGAAATAATTATAAATAAACTAAAAAAATTAACGTTTTTCCCAGTTACATTTTATAAGCAATATTTTCATTTAGTGGCAAAGGCACTAAAATGGTATAAATTAGTACTACATATTTAAACTCATTTATCATACAGGATACAGTTTTTAGCAAACGACCAAAAGGTGTTAAAATTTCATGATGATTTCTTTATCTTAGTCAGCAGTGCTTCTTCCTCTATAAGTCCTAATCAGTGAGTCACAAATTCTTTTAACTCTTTGATGTGACGTCTCACAATGTTTTCATTTTCCTCCCAAACACTCCCGTAAAAGGCTATTGGCAGAAGCAAATAATTAATTGTTTTAAAAAGATCTTATTAAAAGTATTTTATGAATTAAATTCTTTTTTACGAATGGAGAATAATAAATAAAAATATAACTCGATCGAAATTCCATTTTCATTTATTGAAAATGTTATCATTCCATTAGATGATACTAACTTTGATGCATTAAAAAATATTTCATTGTAAGTTGATCTCCCCCTTTTAACTATTTTCCCATGCAGTGTCTGCTTCTAAAGAGTCTCACATCAAAAGCGCAATCAAAAGGTCAACGCGCCGCTTGAGATCAAAGGCTCGGCTCGTCTTTCTCCGATTTATTTTTTCAATCTTTTCTCCGGATGATTCATTGGGCCCGAATTGGAAAATAATTCACGCACAATTAGTTTCGGCTTTTCGAAAATAAACAGTGACGTCACCGGTCTCGTTTCTTTTTTTGTCACGCTTCCAAAAAAACCCTTTTGGGCTTTTCCGGGCGCCCCCGCCCCGCCCACCCGAAAGGTCTCTCGTCTTTCCGACAAAGGTCGCAGGGAGGAATCAGGGCTCACCTGCTGGGCGACAGGGTCCAAAATGCTCTCGATGGTCTTTGTGTGGAAGACGGGCATCTTGCTGGCGGCTCGGTTTACCACATCCCAGTCGAACGGCGAGCAAATAAACAAAATAAGCCCGAAAGACTCGCGGAGAGAAACACACTCGCTGATGAGAGCAGAAGGGCTCGTTTTGGTGGGGGGCCGACGCTGCTGCCCTCAATCGTTGGACAAGGCAACCCTGACGACAGAGTAAAGGGCGGGAAACTCTGGAGCGATCTGAAAGATCTCGATCAACATCTCACTGAATCTTGAAATTATTATTCCTTTTATTTAAAAAAAAAAAACCCAAAAAACTGCCCAAAAAATAAACATTGAACTCAAATTTTGAGTATTTGAGTCAAAATTTTTGTTGAAATTTTTAATGAAGAATCAAAGAAATAAGTAAGTTAAAGTTTCATGATACACACTAATTAATGCAAAGAAGCCGTTGCATTTTCATTAAAAATCAAAACGACTTTTTATTTTAATTATGATAGGAAAGATTTTCTTAATTTTTAGCAGTTTTATCAAGAAACATAAAATTTCTTTTGCATGGTTTGTGGTTCTTAATAAAAAAAAAGAAAGAATTTGCTAAAGCAGGTGCATTTTTTTTATTGTTTCAAATAGTAATAAAAATTATAAATAAATTTTTTTAATTTTACTTCAGTTTCTTTAATAGACGCTCTCTATTTCTTTCCGTTGTTTTACTGAAATAATTTAACAATTTTTCTTTAATTTATTTTGTAATAATTTATTTTCCTGTACCCACCTAACTGCGTTGTACACACGTCTGTACTCAAACTGCCTGCTTACAACGATTACAACCATCTTCCAAAATTCATTTGCAGATAGGGTTGAATTTGATTTAAGTAGTTGTCGGCCTAGAGTTGCCATTTCTCTGTAGATGGCCTGACAATCATCCTCATTCAACTATACAATTAATTTTGTTATAAATCAGTATTTTACAAAAGTCGGAAGATTTTTCATATTTGAAAATAGAAAGAGGATAAATATAATATTATATTTATACTTGCCAAGGGACAATATTTTTTAAGCTCTACAAGATTTTCTATGGATTCAAGCCCTGCATAATGGCCAAATCTTCCTTCTTGCAAATCAGCGTAAATTCGAATCGCCTGAAAATTTTAACATAATTTTTCTGCCTCTTTGATGAAAATTAAATTTGGAAAACCACCTGATTAATTATTAACTGCTCGGTTGAGCTTGAAGCCATGCCGAAGACACACGTTCACAAATAAAAATAACAGGAACACCTAATATTACTTTTCCTCTGAAAATGGTGATAAAAGATAAAACTATTTGTGAGATAATGCAGGGATGGAAAAGAGATAAAATAACAAAAAGCAATCAATAAAATTATAGACCCTGCATTTTAATAATAAAAATACGCATGCTAAGTATGGAATTCTTTTTCTTGCATAATAATATAAAAAAATTGTTATTTTTTTTTATTAATTTTCAACATTTCTTGTTTGTTTGGTGCAATTTTGCAAGCAGTCTCAGCAGCATGCTCTTGCGCCACTTGTTAATTAAAATTCTGAGTATAGCAGAAAATACTGAAGCTAGTCGCTTTTGTAAAGGAAAGCTGCAGCTCTCCAGCCCCTGCAATTCTCGCACGTAGGCAAATTGCGGAACACGTCCGCCAGACTGGTTGCATAACTCGGTGCTGCGCGAAAACACGCCCGACGTGTATGGTTGGCGGTGACGAGCGACGTCGTTTGGCGTTGAAATAACGAGGAAAAAGGAGATAAAAAAGCAAGACCATGTCACTTTTATGATGCTGAAGTCGGCAGAGCATTTTCACGTCCTTTTCTTTTCATTGAAGTAAAAAAATTGTACTTTTTTTCCACCGATTTTCGAATTTCAAAATTTCTTTAGGAAGCGAATAATTATTTTTACGCTTTATTTGTTTGTATAGCTTAGAAAAATAAAACTAGAAGAACACTTTAACAGGAAAACCCATCTCTAATTTTTCAAGGGACTCGTTTTTCCCTGAATTGAAACGTTTTGATTTAATTTTATTTATTCACTCACCACAGGCCAAAAAGGGAAATTTAAAACAAAATTATATTGAGAGCGAATTGGCAACCAGCTCTAGTAAGCAACTTATTAAATCTCATAGACTTATTTTGAAAGCAAAAGTGTTTCCAAATTAAACCTTCTCACCAAGCTGGAGTAGAATCACTTTGAATCATTTAACTATTTTGTTGCCAAATTAATCATGTTTTAAGACCAAAATACGAGCAGAGCTAGCATATAATATTTTCTCGTTCAAGAATCATCAAGAATATTAAAGAGTCTCGAACAAAATCCCAGTAATTGGACTTTGCACAATTTCCTTATAAACGCTCCACAATTCACCACAAACATCCGTCAACCAAAGTATATGCGAAGCACCAGTTCTGCTACCTTGAAAGGAGATAATTTTGTGGAAGGAAATTCCAAGTTCAAGACCGCAAATTATGCACTGCGTTTGCAAGCACGAGACAAATTAATTTAAACTGGATTATTTTTAATGTTCCACGTTTTCTGGGTGAGTATATAGGAAGGAGATTAGCGGGTCAGGAGAAAAAAACTGTTGTGCATAAAGAATAAGATGGGTTGATTCATGAATGATGCATGAGTCAAACCAGAATAACTACAGTTTGAAATTAAATAATGGCTTTCCCCACAATTCTTTTTAACTGAGGAGAAACCGTTTTGAAAAAAAAAAAACTAATTGAAATGATACGGTGTGGATATTATTCCAATGGAAAAGGACGGTTTTAAAAGCTAGTCAAAACCCAAATAAACGGAAAAATTCCATTAGAATTTAAATGAAAATTGAAGGTCTTATTGTTAGAGTAAAAATAATAACCATTATTCAATAAAAAAAATTCAATGTTACAGTTTCTCAATTTTCTTTTTGACAAAATATAACGAATTTAAGCAAGACACTAATTTTAAGTTCTGAATGAGAAGGAAAAAGAACCGAATAATATAATTAAAGTAAAAACTGGTTTGCCCCTTCCTCTCGCAGTCAATATAATTGTTTGCGCAAAGTTCTCTCTCTCCGCAACGTTTTACAAACAGTAGCGTTTTGCTGTTGTCGAGGTAAGATCAAATTTTCACTTTCATGGTTTGACAGAATAGTGGTTTTTGAAATATTTGAAGAATGTAAATTTTTACTTTATACTCTTAATTCTTACTTCAAATCTGATATATACATTTTCACTTGCTAACTTTATTTATTTTTAAATTGAGTTTGGTAAAATCTCAAAGTAAATTTTTTAGTTAACATAGGAACGAACTAGCAGAGATTTCTTTAAATTTAATTCAAGAGCTTGCTATACATGTAGGCATCATGTTTATTTTAGCCAAAAATATTCACATATTATATTCATTTCTCAAAAAGATGAGGCGAAAAAAACAGGTATTTAAATAAATTTTATTGCAAGCAGAGAATTTTTGTCCTCTAGCTTGTTTTTAAATTGGTAATTTTTTAAATTAATTCTTACTTTCTTTTTAGTATGTAAACACAATTAAGACATAATGAAGACATTGTTTTTTATCATGCTTGCCGCCTGTGGAATTTCATGTTCGTGCGGACAGAATGAAAAAGCAACCAACAGCGATCTTTTTACTATAAAAGAAGTTATAGATATAGACATTTACAAACAAACGACAAAACTCTATGATTTCTGTCCTACAAAAGACAGGAAAAAATTCTCAGCACCAGGTATGCGCAAAAAATTAAATATGCCAGTAAAAACTTATTATTGTATATTACAAAATTAAGATTTTGGAGGAGGAGAAAATTTGAGCTTTGAAGGCTGTGGAATTTGGACATCTGACCCTACAACAGAAAATGACAGACCATCCTGGTTTATTGTTACAAAGATGAAAGATAGCGACGAATTTTGCTGGGGTGTATTAATTTCTGGCAGATCGGTTATTTTAACTTGTAAAATTTTTAATTTGTTTTGCGATATTTTTTTGAATGCACATTCCGTAATTAGATTGTGAATATTCCGAGAATTTGAACAACTTTGGAGAAATGCAAGTTTTTGGAGGCGAGTCCTGCTCCAATCATGAAGATGGCTGCTTTTATAATAAGCGACTATTGCAGGAATTGAAGGTAAATAGAAAAACGCTTCCTATTCTTATCTAGTAGACTTTAAAAGCATATTTAAACTTCATTCAGGGAGTGTAGGAAATGTTTTTAAATATTTCTGTAGCATTAATTCATTAAGGACTCCTTATTGCAATGCTAAGAGTACCAAAGAGGTTTTTTTGATCTCCCATATGCCCAATGTAAAATTTTTGCCCCATGAACCCCCAATTTTTTTCTGCGAATCTGTGTAGGGTCATTCAATTATCATTTTGTGCAATTTTGAGCAAAAAATTTCGGGCAGATTTTTTTTAATCGCCAAAAACAAAAATCGCCATAAAACGCCTTGTTAAATTTCAAAATATCATATTTCAAGATTAATCCGCGCGACCCCCCATTTTTCTTTGTGCAATCAACTCCACTGATGGGCAGGAATCTATAAAAAAATCTGGGTCCAAAAATTTCGGGCCGATTTTCCGCAAACAGGAGTTGTAGATGTCAATAAGGAGGCCTTAATGCATAGGCCGAGCATAACATTTAAATTTATTTCAGCTTTTACTGCCTTTGGCATTTTTATATCTACCTGCTACCACTCCTTGCTCCCAAAACTTTTCACTGCAAACTTATAATTATCTGATTTTGCTCCCGTTAAGTACTTGGTACCAATTTAAATAAATTTATCTGCATAATTTTATTTTCCGAATGACAACATTATTCCAGGTTATCAATGTGACACCTTTGCGGTCACATTCATTGAAGGAAAAGATGTGGTACATGTTCACAAGTAAACTAAATTTAAATGAAAGGAATTTGATGCCAATATGTCTTTACAACCGCGACAATTCAGACGACTTAAGTAACTCCAACTCGTACTATGGGTTTAACACGGTGAGTATTTTAATAGATTCCAGGAATAACAAAAATTTTATAGTTAAAAATAATCTTATTTCCATAGAAATTGATCAAAGGAAAACTTCCCGAGCAAGGAAATTGTTGTGTCAGAAGTAATGATGTCACCTTCAATGACAGTATGCCATACTGGCGAGCTCACTTTGATGAACAAATATGCACAAGTAAGTGAAATATTTTAATTTATAAATAATCACAAATTTTACTTTTTTTGTAAATTGCTTCAGGTTTATGGTCTCAACGCGTCTTGATAAATGGCAGAAAAGAACAAAATGGAGCAACTCGATATTTTCTGAGAGGGCTTATAAGTTTTATAATTAATTCTGACTATAATCACTTTGGTTCGTTTGCGGACGTGAACGCCTGGTTGCGTGAGGTCGTTTCTTTGGCACCAGATTTGGCCCTGATGCCACACATTCCGCCACCGAAAACACCCATACGTAATTAAATTAATTTGATTTTGAAACAAATATGATCAATTAAAAATGATAGAATTTAAAACTGGCCTCAGCTATCCGGACTGCGGAAAGGTGCAAATCGCGCAGAACATTGCAAGAAGGCGCACTAGGTCAACCGACGACCAGCGGCCCACAGGCCTTGTATTTGGGGGCGTTAATGACCAAAAAGGAGCAACCCCATGGCACGTCAGTATCAATGTGCACGGCAAGAGGGGAATCTACACTGACGCCTGTGGTGGCACTTTAATTTCAAATACAGCCATTTTAACTGGTAAAAAAAAAAAAATTGTGGACAAATTTTTTTTACTAAAAAATCGACTTTTAAGCGGCTCATTGCTTGAACGAGAAAGTGAGAGGAAATCTTTTGTTACTTAGCCCAAGTCAGGTTGAGTTGACTTTTGGAAAGTATGATTCCTCCAAATCCAATCACATGGAACCCTTCAGGCAGTCTTATTTTGTGAGAATTTTTTCTTTTGAATAAAATAATAATTTTATAGCATTTAATTTTCAGACAAAAGAGGTATTGATCCACCCTGAATACAACCAATCTGCAGAAAATTTCGAAAATGACATCGCCTTGCTGATTATTGAGCCAAAAGTTCTGACTTTTAATGAAATGGTGCAGCCGGCGTGTTTGTGGGCCGAAAAAGATAACGACATTGAAAAAATTGCCGGCTCACAGGGAGAGGTGAAAACTTTTTGACCTATGAAGGATCTCTTTATTAATAAATAATTAAATACTTAGGTCGCCGGTTGGGGACTGACTGCGGAAAACAAACGCTCTGCTGTTTTGCAAAAGGCCTATCTTGACATTGTTACACATCGGACGTGCTTTTCCAATAATAAGAATTTCTTCGGGAAATATTTAAAGCCAACTCTGAACTTTTGCGCTGGCATACCCAACCGTAACACAACTTTTTTGGTTTAAATTCAAATTTTAGCAAGTCCATAAAATTTTAGAAGCAACAACTTGTGTTGGCGACAGCGGTGGTGGCTTGACGATTTACAACAATGGTCGGCACTACTTGCGTGGAATCACCAGTTTTGCTCCTGATAAACGGGAGAACGTAGACGGAAACACAATTTTCGTTTGCAGCAAAAAATACTATTCCGTCTTTGCCGATGTTACAAATTATATGGATTGGATTGTTAAAAATGCTTTTGGTAGGAATCCAAAGAACAACCCGTAATAATAAAAATTGCAAATTTCACACCAAGTCTCTAAATATTTCTCTCTGCCTACTAATTAATTTAAGGATTTTCATTATAAGTGTTTAAAATAATAAGTTAGGAGAGGGCTAAATGATGTTATAAAAACTTGAATTAAAGTAAAAGGAAAAAGATTAAAAAGGTACTAATTTGCACTTCCAGGGATTGAATTGTAAAACAGCATGTCAAAGTAGTTCTTTTGAATTAAGAATTAATGCCAGGGGAGTGATGATCCTTTATTGGATTGAATTAAAGATGAGCTGATGCATGAAAAAGCAAAACTGTTTTTTTTTTCAATTTGATTGACTCATTAATTTGTTAGTCTTACATCTCAATAGAGTTAAAAAAATTCATGATGATTTTAGAAAGCTCAGATTGTGCTCATAATTTTGAACTAAACTCGTATCATTTAAATATGTAGTATCTTGCTGAACAGATCAAAGACCAAGAACTCATCTAATTTGTAAACAAGTTTTCCCCACCACTAACCATTTGAAAGGCAGATCGAGTCATAACAGAGTCTGGTCTGGAAAACGCATAGCTCCTCCAGCACTATAAAATCAGTTGTCCGTCATTCGCTGCAGAGGTATGTTGTGTTAATTTATATTTACCTCTAGAATTAATTTTAAAGAGCGAAAAATACATCTTGGAAATTATTTTCATTATTTTATTGATTTAAAGGGCTGTCATATTTTCAAATTGTTTATTGCAGTATCAACTGAGAATTAATAATTCTAATTTTTTATTTTTTATCAGAAAAGTCCCCAGAAAAGCCCATTTTTAGGTTGTTGTCGGTCTCACTTATATGAAAATTTCGCCACTCATCTCTCATCGAAGTTTAAAAGTTTCAACTGCAGGATTTCAGTACCATGAGCATTATTAGTTTATTCCATTTAATTTATTAACTCCTGCGTGTGCGTTTATCATACAAATAATTATTGTTGCAGAAAATAGCTCAGGCCAGTCAGGCCATCTGTCACATTTTTTCATATGAGAACAGGAAAGATCCAAAATTTTCTCGCGACGGCAACGATATTAATTTGTAAATAAGCGACTTATTTATTATCGGAGGACTCTGGCCATTTAAAATTGACATGAATATATTCCAAGAAATTTCGTCATAGCGATGACCCTGTGACCTTTCACAAAGCATGTTTTTATGACGAGTTCACGGCAATAATAATGTTCTTTTAACAACCTTCCTGGAAGAAAATAATCGTGCAACAAAAAGCAGCTAGAGTTTTGCCTTTTTGTTGTTGCTAAATATTTTAATGCCAAACAGCATCACAAATAAGTGTGTAGGCAGATTCTTTTTGCGACAACCTAAATAATAACTCCATTTTACAATTTCAGCTTATTAACAACATGCAAATGCAAAAGATATGCAAGGGCAAGCTTTATTTTTGACCATAGTATGTGCCTCCGGGATTTTCTTTGCTAACGGACACAATGGACCCGAAGCCAACCGCGAATTTTTCATTGAAAAAATTAAGCAAGAGAAGGATATCTACTCTCAAACGAAAACAGTGACTTATGTTTGTCCAGCTAGGGCTAGAAAAAAATTTCCAGCTCCAGGTATGCTCGAAAATTTGTGTAAAACTATTGAGACATTTTTATTTTCAATTAAGATTTCGGAGGAGAAGGAAACCTGAGTTTTGATGGGTGTGGCATTTGGACACCTGACCCAACAAAAGAAAAAAACAGACCGCCCTGGTTTATAGCTACAAAGAGGAAAGATGATAGTCACTATTGTTGGGGATTATTGATTTCTGCTAGAACTGCTATTTTATATTGTATATAATCTAAAATCAACATTTTATTTTGCTTCATTTAATATCTTAACTACTATGTATTGCGCAGATTGTGATGAATCATCAAATTATTTTGAGAACCCGGAAAGTGTTGACGAAATTCAGATTTTCGGTGGCGAGTCCTGCAATGACGACGAACAAGGATGCCACTATAATAGGCTACTGCTGCGAGATGCAAAGGTAAGAATACAAAGCAAACAAAAGAATATCCTCCTAAAAGTAAATTCAGAACTTAAGCAATAAATTTCTTTAGCCTTAAGATCTTATGCATGGACGCCGGCCCTTTAGCAAATTGATAAAAAAAAAATACAAATTAATTCATCTGTATAATGCTTTGGGAAAAATATTTCATTAATCCAAATCAGGTTTAAGCATATTGATTTTTTTTATTGAGGAAATTTAAAATAATAATTTGATATAAAAGTTTTATGCGTATTTTAATCATTTCAGGCAGTCAGTGTGACACCTTTGCGTTCGCATTCTTCAAAAGAAAAGTTTTGGTTGATGGTCACAAGTAAAATAAGATTGCAGAACAATGTCTTAGTGCCAATTTGTATTTACAACCGTGACAACTCTGACGACTTGAGCACCGAAAATTTCTACTATGGATCTAGCACCGTGAGTATGCAATTTGCAAAAGTACAAGAATTAAAAAAAAAATATGTAGAGGATCCGTAACGTGAAATTTCCATCGCCGGAGGATTGTTGTGTCAACAATAATGATGATGGCTTTGATGAAATAATTCCATATTGGCGAGAACACTTTGAGGAACAAATATGCACTAGTAAAAATAATTTTTTCTATTTATAAAAAAATTTAATATCTTCAAAAATTGAAATAAATTTAAAATTACGATTCAATTTTTATTCAAGTTAGCGTTCAAATTGCCAGCTATAATTTAAATTTTGCAACACTTGTTAGATTCGTGGTACCAACGAGTCTTAATAAATAGAAAACTTCTGAATGGAGTAACTCGCCACTATTTGAGAGGCCTACTGAGTTTTAGGATGAGCGCCGGGCATGATCAGTTTGGGTCATTTGCGGATGTAAACGCCTGGTTGAACGAGGTCATTTCATTGGCGCCGGACTTGTCTGTGATTCCACAAACTCCAGCACCGAAATTACCAACGAGTGAGATTCAAAGTGATTTGCAAATCACTTAAAAAAGATCATTCTTGCGTAGATTTTAGTTCCGGACTCAGCTTCCCAGACTGCGGAAAAGTGCAGATCAGACAGAACATTGCAAGAAGGCGCACTAGGACAACCGACGACCTGCGGCCCACAGGCCTTGTATTTGGGGGCGTCACTGACCAAAAAGGAGCAACTCCATGGCACGCTAGTTTGAGTGTCCATGGCAAGAGTGGAATCGTCATTGACACATGTGGTGGCACATTAATTTCTAAAACAGCTATTTTGACCGGTAGAAAAAATAAGAGTGAATTTTTAAAATAGAAACTAATTTTGGTAAAAAAAAAACCCCAGCGGCTCATTGTTTGTTTGAGGAAGTAAGCGGAAGGTATGAAAAACTGAGACCAAGCCTGGTCGAGGTGACCCTCGGAAAATATGATTCCTCCAAATCCAATGACTTGGAACCATCCAGGCAGTCTTATTTCGTGAGAAATTTATTTTTATAGAATTAAAACTAAAATTAAGCAAAACAATTTTCAGCCAAAAGAGGTACTGGTTCATTCTGCTTATAACCATTCAGCAAACAACTTCGAAAATGACATCGCCTTGCTAATTTTTGATACAAACAATTTCTCGTTCAATGACATGGTACAGCCTGTGTGTTTGTGGAATAAAGGTTCTGACATTGAAAGCGTTACCAGCGAATTTGCAGAGGTAAAATAAAAATAATTAATCTGATCGATCCAAATTTTAAATAAATATCCAAGGTTGCTGGTTGGGGCTTGACTGCAGAAGGAACCCGCGCTACAATTTTGCAAAAAGTGGACCTCAACATTGTCTCACATCGGACGTGCTTTTCGCAGCATAAACTATTTTACCGGAAATATCTAAAGCCGACGCTCAATTTTTGTGCTGGGAGACTGCGCCGTAAATAAATTTATTCAATAGCTTAATTTATAAATTTTAAATCTTTGAAATTTAGAAGCAGCGACTTGCGTTGGCGACAGCGGCGGAGGTTTAATGATTTACAACCACGGTAGACATTATCTACGGGGAATCACAAGTTCCGCTCCCTTGAAAGAAAAAGTCGTAAATGGCATGAGGATGAAAGTTTGCAACTCGGAATATTATTCTCTGTTCACCGACGTAACAAATTATTTGGACTGGATTGTTAAAAGTGTCCCAGATATCAATTAGAAGGAGAGCTCGGTGTTAAATTATAATTTAAAAAAAAAAATCAGACGGTGCTACAATTTAGTTAACACTGGAATTTTGAGCTAGAAAAATTGAGAAATTTTAATTAATGTAATAAAGAACTTTAATATACTGAGAATAATTATTATTTTACAATCAATATTTTAGCATTAATTTTTAATTTATGTCGTTCTTTATTAACCAGCAATAATATTGTTAGCCTATATTTGTCCATTTATTCCTGTTAAAATATTATAGTGCTTTATGTTTTTATTTTTACTTGCAACAGTTTGCTGTTGGGCGCTATTTATGATAAAATATTAGCTCCCAATTCTCTCAATTTTATTTTATGTGTAAATGCTTTACGTTTTAAATGCAAATAGGCCATATAGCCAAGCCCTAAATTTTTTATCTTAAGCATCGCAGAGCATAATTTTACTTGCAACTTTCATGTGACGTAAGTGCATAATAAGTGTGTGGCGAGACGCAGAACTAACTATACAAAAAAAAACTCGCTCAGTCAGTTTTTGGGTTCACCAGCAAACAGCAAACAAAGATTACGAGGCTGCTCATTGATAAGGAAGAGGCTAAACAAAAATCAACTTGCCAGCTGCTGCAGGTAGAATTTATAAAAAGTTTTGCAAAAAAGAACAATTTTTTTTTAAATAACTAGAGTAATTTAAATTTTAAAATAAAATGTAATTTAGTTTAATAACTTTCATTAAGCCTCTTCAGGCTCTCAAAACGAGTTTCTTCAGAGGTTGATGCAATATAAAAAAATTTAATCTTTATTTTTCTAATTTAATTTTCCAATCTACAATGTAATTATAATTTTTGTTAAAGCTCTGACGACTTATCAAAAATGGAGAACGCGAGCAACTGCATCCAGCATCCTTGCCCATACCCAAATGGTGGGGGCGCCGCGACAGTACTTTTTGCCGGTTTGGTCAACGCCGTTCTGAACGCACAATGTCAACTGGGCAACCCGGCCCAGTACCCCAAAGACGTTTCCAGCACACTTCTGCTGCCCGAGTACGATTTTATTGTAATTGGTGCCGGCAGTGCCGGTTCGGCTATTGCAAGTCGACTGACCGAAATTGAAAAATGGAACGTGCTGCTTCTGGAGGCGGGCGATGACCCCGGGATGACCACGGACATTCCCGGTTTGGCAATTGGTCTCCAGCATGGAAGTGAAGATTGGGAACTTTGGTCGGAGCCAGACGGCAAAACGTGCCTGGGAATGCAAGGCGGCCGCTGCTACTGGCCGCGGGGAAAAGCGCTCGGTGGCTCTTCGTCTATAAACGCCATGTTGTACGTTCGGGGAAACAAAGAGGACTACGACGAGTGGGAAAAAATGGGAAACACGGGATGGGGCTACGAAGAGGTATTGAAATACTTCAAAAAGTCGGAGGACGGAGAGATTGAAGACGAATTTCACTCGAAAGGTGGTTTGCTGAGCGCCCAGAAATATCCTCTCGAGCAGATGAATGTGATCCCTTTGTTTTTCAAGGCGGCCAAAGAGTTGGGCTACGAGCACGTGGATTTGAATAGCGCTACCCCTGTGGGATACGGTCGCCTTCCTTCGACGCAGAAAAACTGTGAAAGAATGAACACAGCTAAAGCGTTTTTGACTCCAGCCAAGGACAGAGATAATCTGCACGTGTCAAAAAACTCGCACGTCACCAAATTGCGTTTGGAGGATAACAGAGTAGTCGGGGTTGAATTTGAAAAAGATGGAAGTTCTCATTTCGTAGCAGTAAAAGGGGAAGTGATTTTGTCCGCGGGCGCCACGAATTCGCCGCAGATTTTAATGCTCTCCGGAATCGGACCGAAGGATCACCTCGAGGAACTGGGCATTACCGTGCACGCCGACCTGCCCGTGGGCAAAAACTTGCAAGACCACTTTATGTTCTCTGGCACTTATTTGTCTCTAACGGGTCTGCACGCTAAAATCCCCAACCCCAAGAACAAATTGAGGGACGACCTGTATCAGTATCTCTTTTATCGCAGAGGTGATTTGGCCTCCATAGGCACTGGTGACTTCACCGGTTTCGTTAATACACCGTTGAACAAAGACAAAAATCGGCCCGACATCGAAATCCACCACTTGCTAATACCGGAGGACGATCAGCAAATGTTGCCCGTGTGGTTGTATTCTCAGGGTTACAACAAGGAGACCTATGAGTACTTTAAACAGATCAATAAAAAGGGCGCCTCACTAATTCCTTTGATCTCTCTTCTACGGCCCAAGAGTGTGGGCGAAATTAAACTTAAATCGGCAAGCGTCTCTGACAGACCGATAATTACTCCAAATTACCTGACGCACGAGGACGACGTGAAAACCATGATAGAAAGTATCAAGTATTTCAAAAAGTTCGGCGAGACGGAAACGATGCGCGCCCTGGGAACTGAAATCACCGACGATTACAAGCCGTGCAGCGGAAAACACGAAAAGCAGAGTGACGAGTATTACGAGTGCTGCTTGCGTCATATTGGTTTAACTCTTTACCACCCTGTTGGCACCTGCAAGATGGGACCCGACCCTGCCGACTCTGTGGTCAACCCAAGGCTGAAGGTGCACGGCATTAAAGGGCTGCGAGTGGCGGACGCGTCAATTATGCCAAAGATTATTTCAGCAAACACAAACGCCGCTTCGATCATGATAGGCGAAAGGCTGTCTGATTTTATAAAGGAGGATTGGCTTCAACAAGAATGAAAAGTATAATTAATACAATTTTATAATCTGAATTTAATTTTTTTTTTTTTTTTTGTAATAAATTTTTCTACCTTTATTACTCAAGTTTTTCATTTTTTCCTTTTTCCACAAAAATCAGGCAATAGACGTTACATTAGATTTGGAGATAAAATTTATGTGCTGAATAATCACATATATATTATATATATATATTTTTTTTCCTTGATAACATAAAAATACCAATCTAGCACCTTTTATTTTGAAAGGAGAATTTTGATTTTTTTTTTCATCGCTTCTTTTGTAAATATTTCAAAACATTTCAAATTTAAATATCCCAGCGTCTTTCAAAATTTAGTCGCGGTGTTCATTATTTATTTCGTAGCAAATGGAGAGTATTTATTTTTTGTTTTATTAATAGTTGATAAAAATTTCAGTATTTTTGATTTTTCATAATATTTTAGATTTAAATTGTTTGTCCTTGCTGTTTATTGCACGGAAAACAAAACTCAATTAACATAAATCAGGAGTGCTGAAAAATAGCATGAGTTTTTTTTCCAAGGACTGATTGTATGATTGTATGTGATAATTATAGGTAACACTACACTGCCTCCTGAAAGTGCGCTACGGCGCTTAATTCCGGAATAATTATCATCTTGATAAGGCCCCTCTACTTTATGAACAAGCAGCCGGAAGCTAAATGGCGTGACAATAATTTTTTTGTCTCGCGTGTATCCTTGAAGATGCGAGACTTTTTAATTAATTGTAAATAATTTTCAGGCAGTGTGTCGTTGGCTTTTGAAGAGGTAAGAGTCAATTTTTATAACAGAAGAATTTCAATTTATAAAAGCGCTTTCAATTATTCTTGAATATTTGTTTATTAAATTACTTTTTTGTCATTTTTTACTCTATAGCGTGGATCAATATTGTGGAGAGAAAATGACTGGGCAAGTTTTGTATTGCATAGCAATAATCACTCACATAATTGTCATTGCACAAGGCAAAGAAAATCTTTTCAATGACATAAAAATTCAAGTGCAAAACAGTGACCAAGAAATTGTGAAAATTTGCCCAGCTAGGGGACGAGCAAATTTTCAAGATCCAGGTAATTGATTAAATTATAATATTTTGAGGGGTGCTGAGGGTTGATAATTTGTGAACACGTGAAATAACACTCCCATTCATAGATTTCGGAGTAGAAGAAAATTTGAGTTTTGACGGCTGTGGAATCTGGTCTCCCGAGCAAATGAATAAAACAAGCACACCACCCTGGTTTATTGTTGCAAAATTGAACGACAGAGATCTTTACTGCTTCGGCTATTTGATTTCTGAAAAAGCTGCTATTTTATTTGGTATGTGAATGCAAAATTTGTCTTTTTAAATTTGCAATCCTAATGAGGCTTTTAGAATGCAACGAAATAATTATATACTTTGAGAACAACGCGAATTTATCAAAAATTCAGATTTTCGGTGGTGAATCCTGCCAAGAGATTGAACAGCAAGATTGCAACCGTTTTGGATTGCAACTACTGAATGACGCAAAGGCAAGATGTGTTCAATATAAAGTACAATAATAAAAATACTGACATAAATTACTTCAGGCAAAGGGCGTTACACCTTTGAAATCACATTTGAACGATAAAAGATTTTGGTTGATGACCATGACTAATCTAAGTTTAAATGGCAATAATTTGCTTCCACTTTGCCTTTACAACGGCCACGTAATTCCTGATGACTTTTATGTCCTGAACATATTTCGTCAATATGACTTTGTGAGTATTAGAACTTTTTTTCGAATTTTATAAATATTCTGTTGTAGAGTATCCGAAATATGACACTTCTGAAGCCAGAAGATTGCTGCATCAATAAACTGAGTGTCGGAATCGACGAGCTGATTCAATATTGGGGTGATCATTTTGAAGAGCTAATGTGCACGTCTGATAGTAAGTACAAAGAAATCATGTATTCTTAACATTGTTTTTAGCTTCAAAAGAAAAATTTTGTTTTCAAAGTGTGTGCTCGTAACTTATTTAAAATTGTCTAAAATAGTTAAACTTTCAAATAACTTTTGAAGAGTTGCAAATGAAGCTTTGGAAATTTTTAATTTTATATCAATCTCTGTTAATTTTAGATCCGTGGGGACATTTACTGATAAATAGGAAAAATTACAATGGCACAACTCGCCATTTCTTGACAGGAATATGGAGATTTAAAATGTTGGACGGGGAAAAGCATTTGGACACTTACGCAGACGCAAGAGGATGGCTGGAGGAGGTTGTGAATTTGACGCCTGACCTGTCCTTGTTTCCGAAAATTCCACCTGCAAAACCAAGACGTAAATTTCCTTGATATATTTTTCGCTTGGATTCTTATGACAAGGTATTGCAGTTTTTGAATCAGGATACGAGAGCTTCCCAGGGTGCGGAAAAGTTCAGAAGGAACTAAATGTTGCCACTAGAATGAAGAAGTACAGGTCTACAGAACTGCAGGCGAAGCCCATCGGACTGGTATTTGGGGGCGAGGGAAGCAGGAGAGGAGAACTTCCATGGCACGCCAGTTTGACGCAGCACGGAAAACTGGGAATCTTGCATGACGCGTGTGGTGGAACCTTAATTTCTAAAACAGCCATAGTGACCGGTAGAGAGGAAAAAATTTAATTAAATAATAATTTGAATTGAAAATAATTCATCTAACAGCGGCTCATTGTTTGTACGAGGACGTGAATGGCAAGAAGGTACCCCTAGAAGCAAAGCAGGTCGAGGTGAATTTAGGAAAATATGACGCCGAAGATACTAAAGAGCCAAGGCAGTCTTTCCTCGTGAGACGCTAAACATTTTTTTTCGCAAAATTTTGAATCAGACCATAAATATTTCAAAAACGTCTTTCAGGCTAAAGATATACTTGTCCACCCGGACTACAACCCACACAATTTCTATTATGAAAACGACATTGCACTGCTACTTTTTGACTCCAACGAGACAAATTTTAATGAATTAGTGCATCCAGCCTGTTTGTGGGACGATGATTATAGTATTGAAAACATAACTGATCAATTAGGAGAGGTGAAATTATTAATCTCTATTTATGCATGATCTTTATTGTGGTCACATAATGGATTGATTTAAATTTAGGTTGCTGGTTTTGGCCTGACTGAGGAGAGACAAAGATCTCATCAATTGAAAAAGGTGGAAGTTGAAATTCCGTCGCACCAAGCCTGCTTTTTGCAAAACAAGAAATTCTTTGGGAAGAATTTAAAGCCCACGATGAATTTTTGCGCCGGCAAACCACCTGGTAAAATCAATCAATTTGAACGGTTTCGTGACAATTATTTAAACAAAATTTCAGTTGCAGCAAATTGCGTTGGCGACAGTGGTGGCGGCTTAACCATTTACAAGAAAGGCAAGCACTATTTGCGTGGAATCACCAGTTCCGCTCTTCCAAAAAAAATCGAAGTGGCGTCTATGGAATTCACCGTAGTTTGCAACCCCGATTTCTACTCTCTTTACACCGATGTAACAAACTATTTGGAATGGATTGTCGATAATGTACCAGACATAGAGAAGAAAACTGCGACTAATTTTTAGGCCCAAAATCTTATGTTAAAAATTTTTCCCTAAATGCTGGCCTTGTACCAGTAGCTAAATTTTCGTTTATTTGTAAAAATTTCTACAGCAATTATTATCTAATTCAGCCATTCAAAACCTAATTTTATATTTATATTTTTTTCATTCTCACTAGGAAATTTAAAAAAAAAATCCACAAGAAATTTTGCATTCCCTCTCCCACGACAACTCATCAATGATTTGAAGGGAGTACAAAGCTTTCTAAATATTTAGCCAAATATTTTTTATCAATGTATTTTTAATCAAAATAAAATATGGTGTATGTTTGGGTCTTACAATGAATTATTTCTTAATACCATTTTTATCAATAAAGTATAAAGTATTATTTAAGCAATACCAATAATTTAATTTTTTGATAAAAAAGATTTATAGGTGCAAACTACTTTACTGTCGTTTTACCTTTCCCTTGAGATGCAGACAAATTGTAAAGATGTAGTAATTAGTTTCTAATATTTGCTACAAATTCGCTGCATATTAGCTTTTTTATGTATTTAGCTTTTATTTTTGTATATCAAAGCTGAGAGTTATTTTATTGTAAAACTAACCTATTTAAAAAAATATATATTGTAATATCCAAATTTCTTCAGTTTTGATCTTTGTGGATTATCATGGAACTTGAACGTCTTCAATTTCCTCACTAATATTTAAAATAATATAAATAAATCCCAAAAAAACTATTTAACTTCTCAAAAAAATAAAAAATAAAACTAACATAATTGTATCTTAAAGAGACATTTTACGCAAAGTTTTAAAATTTGCAACTAAAAGTTTAATGCAGGAAGCGCGAATTTCCAGCGTTTCCGTCTGTCTCACTAATAATAAGTTCCTGCACTATAAAAGCAGGGCTGCCTCATCAAAAAACAAAAAGCATCGCGCAGAGAGGCAGGCGTCCGCGCTGGCTACCATAATAACTGCAAAGCCGTCGTAAAGTCCTGGCCGCTTTTATTAGTATTGCGCTAACAGCCAGCCCGCCCGTGTCTCTCTCATTGTGAGATTGCTGCGAAATGGGCATTAAATATTTTTAGCCAGGCGTGGATTTCCACCTCCAGATTGTGTCGCCTCTGCCGGAATGCCCGCCAACTCGCGAGCCAACTCGCACCGTGCGTGCGGCGAATGCAAAAAGCTTTTCGTTTGCGAAAATAAAAAAAATGTATATTGGCAGGAAAAAGTTTCGGAGGGGGAAAATGTTGTAGTAATTTGGCCGGATTTTCGGGGGATTTGCGCGAAAAGTGGCTGTCGAGGCATAATTAGAGCCGCAAAACAAATTGATTGGACGTCAGCGCCAACCCCTGCGTGGGCCTTCGTCCCTCGTTTCCGATCCAAATTATTCATGAATGAGTGATAGAGACCGAGAGAGAGAGACACACACAGGAACGGCGCATCCCTCCCTTTTTGACTGAAACACACGTTTGAAAAAAAAATAGAGACTGAAAATGATGCTATTGACTGTAAGATAGAAATTAAAGACGGAAATGTACTGCATTTTATTATATTAAACCGTATATAATTGAAATAAATACAAACAGTTAAATTATTTCCTAAGAATTAGAAAATTAAATAATCGAAATGAATAATAAACTGAAACAATGCAAGATAAAAATTTAAATCTTATTTATTTGCCAGCAAACTTACAAATTTTTTCTGCAAAAAAATTGAAGGAAAGTTAATAATATTATATTGGAACCTCAAACTACAAGTGTCACTATTTTAGATATATGTGTCCTGTCGTTAAAATTGGGAAGAGCAAACTTATCATGGAATTCAGTTTTTCTTTTTAAATCATATTAATTACTTTATTTACTTTACACCGGCTTTGTCTCAAATATCTCATTGTCTCGGAAGGTAATTCCACGTCAAGGCGATTAGTCACAGTACTAATTTAATTTTTACAAAGGTAAAAATATATGAAGTAATTCAAATTTATTTGCAAATGGATTTTGCAATCATTTTCTTTTTAACGCAAAAGCTCTTCTCTCCCACTACAGAGTGAAGAAAAGTCTTTTAAATCAAATCCTCGCACTGCTGATGTGCGCAGATAAAGCGAGACGGATCTGCAATTAATATTTCACGCTCGTTTATCGACTCTCTGCTTTTATCGAACGATTTAGAAAGAAAAAAAACGACTTGAGTGTGTTTGTGCGCGGCGTGCATATATTGTTAGTGGAGAGCAAAGGTGCTCGACGCGGCGGAAAGTCAGTCAGTCAGTCGCGGGGTGCATTATTCATGTGTGTCTCCGTGCGGCGGCGACGACAGCAGTCGATCACCGAATCAGAGCAATGAGAAAAAAAACTCGGTGTGCGGGCTTTCCGACCCCTTTTCTGCCCTCACTCTTGTCCTACATCAAATACACACAAGTCGAGAGTGAAGACGAAAAAGTAGAGAGGAAAATCCTCTGCAGTTCTTTGACGCATTTTCCCTTTGTAGAGAAGCAAAATTAAATCGTAAAAATTGCAAAATCATAAAGACACATTATTACTACAGTAGCGTTTTTTCTAAGTAAATATTTTAACTTTCTTGAATCTATATATAAAATTATAAGGTTAAATGGAGATTTTTGAAGCTAACCTATGAACTCAATTTGCGATAAACGAGGATTTTTTCACGACTTTGAACTTTTGAAGGCATTGATATTTTCTATATAAAAAGGATATTGAGGGGGTAAAATTGTTAATGTTTAACTTTTCTTATGATATTATTATACATAGATAGAGTCGAACAAAGTGTGCGTTGGGCCAAAAAAATGAAATAAATAAGTGAATTTTTTGTAAGAGTGATTTGACACTTTAGATCACTTGACATGATCGTGGAAAAAGTCCAAACTCTTCATTTACTTGAAAGTGAAGTTTAAATAAAAGTGGAAATATTAATGCTAAGGTGGGATCGATTTTTTTTAGTCCAGCGAGAGTAAATTTAGACACTAATACTTATTCTTGGTTTCTTTATAAAAAATTAAATTTTCTCATTTTAGGACACCATATTTTGATAGTGAAATTAAATCTCTTTAAGAATGATGATTAAAATTAGAAATTGTTTGCTAATAATTGCAAAAAATGACTCCCATTGTTGTTGCCACTTGTCTTAAGATTATATGCCAAAATAGTTCTTATTCAAGAATAAAAATAATATCTGCAAAAATATAGCCGAATATTCCTAAACATAAATTATTATTATTCCTTCCTCATATATTAAGATTTTGCATTTTTTGAGGCTACATTTGAACAAATTTTCATAAAAATTCTTGGGTCGTTGCTTGACAAATTTATTCAGTGAAAATGCCAATTCAAATAACTTGGAAACTTTCAATTTATACTGCTCTCCTTTTCTCCAAATAATACAACTTTTTACCACTTTTCCCATTGGCCAAACCAATACTTACATCTAATTCAATGTCTTTCACATCTAATAGATTTTCATAAAAATAATTAATAAAAATTGCAAATTTATAATATTATGTATTTATGTAATTGACTAAGAAAGTTAGAAAAATATTTTATTTTCAACTACATGGCATTTTTAAAATTTATTACAAAGAAAATAAACGTTGGACTTCGCAACTTCCTCTCTCCATTTTTTCACCCCTATCGTCGTGACTCTGCCTCTCATCTGGGGGACGCGACGTTTTGCACAAACAAACACTTTTTCTATATCCTTCGCATATAATAACAACATCAGCCTTTCGCTCTATTTTTTCTGCCCTACGAGGGAATTATGAGCAGCTAATCTGTCCTATAACATCACAATTACACACGGCGCATATAAAATAATCTTCCTCCCCCTCGTCGGAGGGGGTTCCGCTCTCATAATAGATATAAGCGCGGAAAGAAAAGAATCAATGACACACGACGAGAGAAATGCATATTGCATGCGGATCACCTGTAAATAATTCCGTCGATAAAAGCAGCCCGCGTGGCATGGGGGCTGATCAAAGTTTAATCTGGAAATCTATTAGCATTTTAAAATGGGCGAAGCGCGGAGCAGCCCCTGCTCTGCCTTTCTCTCTGTGCGATGGGGACGAGGAATAATTCAGCAGCAGCAACGCGGGGGGAGCTTTCGCTAGCAGCCAGAGAGCGACGCACATCATCCAGCCCCATCCATCCAGTGATAACCGAAAAATAAACAAAGCGACAACATGCTCAGCACACTCTCCAGACCCGGACTGGCCCACCCAGGATGGTGGAAGGGTGGAAAATCAATGATAAATTAATGAGCGGTAATTCAGGTATTGATAAAATTTACTAATTCCCATAATAACAATAATTTTCATTCAAATATTGGTTTTTACAAGAAATTTCGTAGTTAATAAAAAGCTCAATGGATTAAAAAAAAATTACAATTAAAAAGTAGCCTTATAAACAATACCAAATCATTCGATTTATTTGGGTTTGCTGATTAATCTGAACAAATTGAGAAAAAATTTACAAAGACTTTTTGTGTTTCCGCAGCAAACCACTGTTGTTTTCCATTTACGCTATAGTATGAGAACACTTTAAAATTGACATCCATTCAAAAATGAAAGAAAAGAAAAAATAAATACAAATTGCAGAAAACGTTTGCGATTTTAACTGAAGTATTTTTTTTATTGTTCAAAAAAAGCTGTTAAATTTTAATGGGACGAAAATTTGAACAGCAATAAAAATTCCATAAAATTTGTATTGCTTGCGACTTAATTTTAAACGTTCAGAAAAATAATTGGCAAAAGCAGACATGAAAAAAATGAGTCTTTAAAAAAAAAATGGAGTTATAGTGTTTGGCCTCAATGATCCGAGATTTACACTTTTAACTCTGCTGATTTCAAAAATAATTCAAATTAGGGCATTTCTGAGTTCAAATGCATTTCCTTTTGTTGGGACCAATTTTATTTTTTAAAACCGAGAATAATTTAAAATTAGTAAAATTACCATTTTTTATTTTTTATTCAAAGTCTATTACAATAAAATTGATGAATATTATGTAATTTTGAATCTCCCCTAATTTTTAAATTTAATTTTATTGATTTTCAGGAGGATTAATTTAGTCACAAGATTATATTTGTATTTTAATATGAAGCTGCAGTTGATGATCGGAGGGCATGCTGAGGCTTGTCTGGCATATCATTACCCACTCGAGTGCACTTGTGGTCAACCCCTGCTAATATGTGCAGCAGCGAATTAAAAATTGATCACCGCGCGAGTGCGTTTAGGCGGCGGCGGCAGCAGCAGCACAGATGTGTGTCTGCGCCGAGAGCAGGTTGCTTGCTAATGGGATCCTGCGCGTTGAGAGGCTTTGAATTA